TCAGTCTGGGTCTACAGCCTCAGACCTGGGTCTACAGCCTCAGACCTGGGTCTACAGCCTCAGACCTGGGTCTACAGCCTCAGACCTGGGTCTACAGCCTCAGACCTGGGTCTACAGCCTCAGACCTGGGTCTACAGCCTCAGTCCTGGATCTACAGCCTCAGACCTGGGTCTACAGCCTCAGACCTGGGTCTACAGCCTCAGACCTGGGTCTACAGCCTCAGACCTGGGTCTACAGCCTCAGACCTGGGTCTACAGCCTCAGTCTGGGTCTACAGCCTCAGACCTGGGTCTACAGCCTCAGACCTGGGTCTACAGCCTCAGACCTGGGTCTACAGCCTCAGACCTGGGTCTACAGTCTCAGTCCAGGGTCTACAGCCTCAGTGCTGGGTCTACAGCCTCAGACCTGGGTCTACAGCCTCAGACCTGGGTCTACAGCCTCAGACCTGGGTCTACAGCCTCAGACCTGGGTCTACAGCCTCAGTCTGGGTCTACAGCCTCAGTGCTGGGTCTACAGCCTCAGTCTGGGTCTACAGCCTCAGACCTGGGTCTACAGCCTCAGACCTGGGTCTACAGCCTCAGACCTGGGTCTACAGCCTCAGTCTGGGTCTACAGCCTCAGTCTGGGTCTACAGCCTCAGACCTGGGTCTACAGCCTCAGACCTGGGTCTACAGCCTCAGACCTGGGTCTACAGCCTCAGACCTGGGTCTACAGCCTCAGTCTGGGTCTACAGCCTCAGACCTGGGTCTACAGCCTCAGACCTGGGTCTACAGTCTCAGTCCAGGGTCTACAGCCTCAGTGCTGGGTCTACAGCCTCAGACCTGGGTCTACAGCCTCAGACCTGGGTCTACAGCCTCAGACCTGGGTCTACAGCCTCAGACCTGGGTCTACAGCCTCAGTCTGGGTCTACAGCCTCAGACCTGGGTCTACAGCCTCAGACCTGGGTCTACAGCCTCAGACCTGGGTCTACAGCCTCAGTCCTGGATCTACAGCCTCAGACCTGGGTCTACAGCCTCAGACCTGGGTCTACAGCCTCAGACCTGGGTCTACAGCCTCAGACCTGGGTCTACAGCCTCAGTCTGGGTCTACAGCCTCAGACCTGGGTCTACAGCCTCAGACCTGGGTCTACAGCCTCAGACCTGGGTCTACAGCCTCAGACCTGGGTCTACAGCCTCAGACCTGGGTCTACAGCCTCAGACCTGGGTCTACAGCCTCAGACCTGGGTCTACAGCCTCAGACCTGGGTCTACAGCCTCAGTCTGGGTCTACAGCCTCAGACCTGGGTCTACAGCCTCAGACCTGGGTCTACAGCCTCAGACCTGGGTCTACAGCCTCAGACCTGGGTCTACAGTCTCAGTCCAGGGTCTACAGCCTCAGTGCTGGGTCTACAGCCTCAGACCTGGGTCTACAGCCTCAGACCTGGGTCTACAGCCTCAGACCTGGGTCTACAGCCTCAGACCTGGGTCTACAGCCTCAGTCTGGGTCTACAGCCTCAGTGCTGGGTCTACAGCCTCAGTCTGGGTCTACAGCCTCAGACCTGGGTCTACAGCCTCAGACCTGGGTCTACAGCCTCAGACCTGGGTCTACAGCCTCAGTCTGGGTCTACAGCCTCAGTCTGGGTCTACAGCCTCAGACCTGGGTCTACAGCCTCAGACCTGGGTCTACAGCCTCAGACCTGGGTCTACAGCCTCAGACCTGGGTCTACAGCCTCAGTCTGGGTCTACAGCCTCAGACCTGGGTCTACAGCCTCAGACCTGGGTCTACAGCCTCAGACCTGGGTCTACAGTCTCAGTCCAGGGTCTACAGCCTCAGTGCTGGGTCTACAGCCTCAGTCTGGGTCTACAGCCTCAGACCTGGGTCTACAGCCTCAGACCTGGGTCTACAGCCTCAGACCTGGGTCTACAGCCTCAGTCTGGGTCTACAGCCTCAGACCTGGGTCTACAGCCTCAGACCTGGGTCTACAGCCTCAGACCTGGGTCTACAGCCTCAGACCTGGGTCTACAGCCTCAGACCTGGGTCTACAGCCTCAGTCCAGGGTCTACAGCCTCAGTGCTGGGTCTACAGCCTCAGTCTGGGTCTACAGCCTCAGACCTGGGTCTACAGCCTCAGACCTGGGTATACAGCCTCAGTCCTGGATCTACAGCCTCAGTCCTGGGTCTACAGCCTCAGTCCTGGGTCTACAGCCTGTCTGTTCGTGGGGGTGGATCCCGGCTTAGGAACATATATAGGAATAGTTATGGACATTGGTTCTCCTTCTCCTTACGGATCGGAGACTCCTACACTGCAAAAAAATTATACAATATGAGGTAATAATTGATTAAATCAAGTGTTTTTGTCTTAATCTGAGCACATATTGTTTTAAAACCAGATTATAAAAATGGGACAAAGCTGTATTTCAAGAGCAATTGCTTTTTTTTTTTTTCATTCCAAGGGAGACATTTCTTGTATCTTTTCAAAACAAGATCATTTTGCTTTGTCCCGTTGGCAAATCCTGTTTTAAGGCTCAGTCAGAATGTGCTCAAATTAAGACACATTTAGCCAAATTTTAGCAATTATTATATGTTTTTCATCACTTTTTGTAGTGTGGATCGGTTTCTCAGTTTTTTCTCACTGTTTTTGTACATATTCGAGTAGTTCCTTGAATGTGCAGGAGGTCTGAGGACAGTGATGATCCAAGACATTTATCCACATTTCTGGACATTGGTGATCGTCGCGCTCCCTTTGAACCAATGTCTCCTTTAATGTTTGTTATCATCGCCTTTCCTGTCTTTGAACCGTTTGATTCTCTGATCTGCTGTTGAGAAATCCACAACTTTATAAAGTCCTCCAGGACGACTTCTGCTGCTGAGATGTAGGACTGTACAAAAATAACTTGCATTGAATTGAAAAGAGTCAAAAAGGCCATTGTAGCTTTTGTCGGAAAGTCTATTAAGCTATAAAAAAAAAAAGCAGTTAAGAAAATGAGAGAGAATAAATCCGGCTCCGGCTGCTGTGCTATTTCCATTTCCTTTCAAATCAGTTCTTTTTTTGCATTTGCTCCTCGTCACAAACGTTTTGGCCGTTATTATATAAATTGGTGACAAATTCCGTGCAAAAGACGTTCACTTTTCATTCCCAGACTTATTGTTTTCTTAATATGTTTCATACATGCACAAAACAAACATATTTATTCATTTCTCCGCAGTTTGAGTGGACAGTATGTAGCTTAAAGGTTAGAACAGACCTCTCTGGTTGAAATAATCAGTAAATAGCTCAAATCTAATATTTATGTCTCTCTGGTCTCTCTCTGTGGTCTCTCTCTCTGGTCTCTTTCTGGTCTCTCTCTGGCCCCTCTCTCTGGTCTCTCTCTGGTCTCTCTCTCTGGTCTCTCTCTCTGGTCTCTCTCTGTGGTCTCTCTCTCTGGTCTCTCTCTGGTCTCTCTCTGGTCTCTTTCTGGTCTCTCTCTGGTCTCTCTCTCTGGCCTCTCCCTGGCTTCTCTCTCTGGTGTCTCTCTGTTCCCTCTCTCTGGTCTCTCTCTCTCTGGCCTCTCTCTCTGGTCTCTCTCTCTGGTCTCTCTCTCTGGTCTCTCTCTCTGGTCTCTCTCTCTGGTCTCTCTCTGGTCTCTCTCTCTCTGGCCTCTCTCTCTGGTCTCTCTCTCTCTGGCCTCTCTCTCTGGTCTCTCTCTCTCTGGCCCCTCTCTCTGGTCTCTCTCTTGTCTCTCTCTGGTCTCTCTCTGGTCTCTCTCTGGTCTCTCTCTGGTCTCTCTCTGGTCTCTCTCTGGTCTCTCTCTCTGGTCTCTCTCTGGTCTTTCTCTGGCCTCTCTCTGGTCTCTCTCTCTCTCTCTCTCTCTCTCTTGTCCATGATTTGCAGTTTTCCAAACAGTCCAGTCACAATCCACCTCTTGTCTTTGATATTGTGCCTAAAGCTCAGACTGTTACGTAATCACAGCTGTGCCCTCCATCTGCTCGAGGTATATACAGTACTCTACGCTTTTTAATCCACGACGGAGCCACAGACCACATTTCATTTCATTTCATTCTAACAGATGTGCGATCATTCCATTCCAACTAGTACAGTGCAAAAACGAATGAAAAATAAGTCCAAAATGGCTCAAATTTAGCAAAAATGTATCTTACGTTTTGCTCATTTTGACTGGTTTTTAGCAAGGTTGAAGGTTGAAGGTAAATATGGGTGGATCATCTACACTATTGGTCCTCCTAACTGTCAATCATTGACAGGAGGGCGGGAATATACCTTTAAGAGATCCTTCATTCAGTCCCACAGTGGGGAAATTTCAGTGTTGCATCCATAGACTGTATATATTAACGGACTTAGTCACGCCTCCGCCGTTCTAACTAATGGGCCAAAAATTGGGCTTTCATGGACTAATTCAAAATGGCCGCGGGGGCTGGAAAATGTGAAAAAACGCATCTGCGCATCCGTCAGCTGCACGAGCCCCATTCATTTAAACGAGAGACTTAAAAAATACCTAAACTAAATTAGACTGGTCCAAAATAATTCACTCCCCTCAGCACTGACACACATGTGGAACGGAGCTTTGGGCCAAGAACCAACTTTTGGTCCATCCTGTAAAGACGTTTTCGAGAGATCTGCCAATGCTATATGTTAGCATTGGCTAATTCTTATTCTGGGTCCACCCCCATCGGCCCGGGGTGGTATTGCAGCATGTCAGCGCACGTCATTTTGGCCACTTTTGAGCGGGGACCCGCCCCCACTGGTTGCATCATCAGTTACAGAACAGTAAGAATGAGGAACACACAGCAAAAGACATGTGAATAACTCTGTATTAAAATAAAATAAAATCTCTAGCTTATTAATAAAGAAACAAGATTGTCCCATTGGAGAATCTTGTTTTAACACAATCATAAAATGTCAGAATAAGATAAAAACCACTCAATTCAAGCAAATATCACATCATATTTTATCATTTTTTGCAGTGCGAGTTTGAAATCTGACCAGGTTTGTTCTCTCCATCGACAGGACAAAAGGACCGAGGTTCCAGGATGAAGGAAGTCAGTGTTCTGCTCCTGTGTCTGTCTTTGGTCGGTGGAAAAGCTGCAGGTAAATGTTAATTATTCAACTGTTTAACTAAGAGCGTCTTCAATAACTGTTATGTTTCTGTGATTCATTATTTTACTTGATGATGAACAAAAAAACAAAAAATAACAGAACAAAGGAGCCAACATGGATTTCATTGTCACTTGTAGAGGACTGACATTTGGTAAATAACCATTAGACCTTTAAAGGCGTAACGACACTCGCTTCTTAGCAAGAAGGTCCTGGGTTCGAATCCCGGTCGGAGCAGGGCCTTTTTGAGTGTAGTTTGCATGATTTCCTCTTGTCTGCGTATGTTTCCTCCAGGTGCTCCGGTTTTCTCCCTACCTCTAAAAACATTACAATGGGTCTGAATGCAGTGAGTGAGTGAATGGATGGTGTTTGGTCAGAGGCTTTGATGGACCAGTGTGTTCTGCGTCTCGCTTCCGACATCACCGTGTGGAGAGAAAGGAACAATATCTGAACATTGTAAAGCGCTTTGAGTGACCTTGGTCTGTAAAAATGCGCTATATAGATAAATCACTTACTTACTTACTCCGTCACCAAATTTCATCCGAATCCGAGTTGGTGAAGCTGGAGGTCCTGGTCGATTTTTTATTTTTTTTCAACTTTGTATATGTTCAGTGCCTTTATTCCTATGATGTTTCTTGTTCTCTTGCCTCTAGGCCTCGGTCCTCCCGGAAAACCAACTTTGATAAACTGTCGCTCCCCTGAAAAGGAGACGTTTACGTGTTGGTGGAAGCCTGGCTCAGACGGAGGGCTGCCGACCACCTACGCCTTGTACTACGTCAAAGACAAGTGAGTACAAGTCAGAAAGGCCCATGGCTCAGATCGGCCGCCTCTGTTAAGTCTTCTACACGGCAGGTGTGGCTACAGTTGCAGTTTATCACCTTTGTGTATGAAGTGAATGAGTAGTAATGTAGCGTCACAGTCTGTACCAGCCACAGTTTAGAGATTGAAATCATAAAAAAGCAAAGAAAACAAAGATGTCGGTTATTCATACCTTTTGATTTAAGTCTTCCTCATAAGCTAAACTTTGTTGTTGTTTCTTTTATACCGTATTGATGCTGTTTAGAAGAAGGTCCTTTATTCGTCCCACAATGGGGAAATTTCAGTTTCCTATTTAGACCATTGGCTAGACCGTAGCTGTTTGTTTATAATGTCACGCTGATGTCGTCTGATGTCTGATGAGCCACTTAACTTCCGGTTGAAACAGGAAGTGTCAAAATAAAAAAAAATTCTATTGATAATAAATCAACCTTTACACAGATCATTAAATAATTTTATTCTAATGTATTTTAATTGAATAAGTACAGATAACTGGAGTACAGATGATGGGTGGGCGACCATCCTTTGTTTTTATATATGAAGAAAATAATTTTGGTGATTTTCTGGTTTCAGCTCGGACACTTTGTATGAATGTCCTGATTATCAAACTGAAGGCGAGAACTCTTGTTTCTTTAACAAATATGAAACGTCAGTCTGGGTCAACTACAACATCACTGTCGTGGCCACCAATGAGAAGGGGAGGACCTTTTCTGACCCGGTGGATGTGGATGTCGCCTACATCGGTAAGTCTGAACTGTAACGCTTTTTATTAAAACAAACACTCAGACGCTTAGTTTGTTGTAAGAAGATCAGATGAACATTCTGAAGCGATTACTGAGGAGCAAACATTGCACGATAGTTAGAGGAGATTTCATTGATCCACAAGAGAAATTACACAGTGGCTCAGACAAAGTCACAATTTATTTTTTTTGTTTTTTTTATCCCTAGTTTTTTTTCTCGTCCATAGTCACCAGTAGAGGTCAAGTAAAGTTGGACTAGACTTCGTTGATCCACAAAGGAAATGACACAGTGGCTCATACAGAATTACGGCTTCTTATCCATACGTCCTTAGACACCAGGTGAAGTCATGGGAGCAGATCTCTCTCTCAACCAAGTGGTTTTAGAGTTGTTGTCTTACCGATGCAGGAGGATCTAACACCAGCATGTCCAAACTCAGGCCCCCGGGCCAATTGCGGCCCTGCTAACACAGAGTCGCCATTGAGGCACAGTGTCATCCGACCAACTTCAGCTCCACCAATGCTGTCATACTATACCTTGTTGTAAACCTCATTGTTATACACTGACATTTGTTTTATGATTGTGTTACAACATTCCAAATAAAACGCAGCAATGTAGCAATCCAGCTCCAATCCTGTTTTTAAATCCAGGTTGTCGGCCCCTGGTCAAGTCTGATGAACTATGGTGGCCTTCTTACTAAAAAGGTGATCTAACATAAGGACATTGGTGATGACCCAGGACACTCAACATTCCACATCTATGGACATTGGTCTCTGCCCCTTATGGACCCTTACCAATCTGTTTTATATCATTGCATTTCTTGGGCTTCAACAATTTGGTAAAGTCCTCCGAGATAACTTCTGTTGTAATTTAGGGCTGGACAAGAATAAATTGAATGGAAAATAAACACTCAGTCTGTCTCTGCAGTCCAGCCTCACACTCCGGAGAACGTGTCGGTGACGGTGATGGAGGATAACGGCTGGCCCTTCCTGCGGGTGTCCTGGGAGTCTCCGCACAAAGCCGACATCCGCTCGGGTTGGATCACCCTCATCTACGAGCTCCGCAGCAAGATGGAGGGCGAGGACGAGTGGGAGGTCAGTTCTGAAAGTGCTGCACGGTCGTCACTTGCATGTGAAAGCCAGACTCTGTCAGACTTGTGGAGCTAAGTAGGGCAGGGTCTGGCTAGTACTATGATGGGAGACCTCAGGGAACACCAGGTGCCACAGTGGGGCGGCTGTAAAGTGCCAAAGTGTTGTGGTGTCCTGAGGCAAGACGTCGAGAAACTCTCCACTCACCTGCAAATCAGGTCTCTCTCTGGTCTCTCTTTCTAATCTCTCTCTGGTCTTTCTCTCTCTCTCTCTGGTTTTTGGGCTCTCTTTGGGCTCCCTCTGGGCTCTCTCTGGTCTCTCTCTGCTCTCTCTGGTCTTTTTATTTCTGGTCTCTCTCTCTGGTCTCTCTGTGGTCTTTATCTAGTCTCTCTCTCTCTGGTCTCACTCTCTCTAGCTGGTCTCTGGTCTCTCTCTCTCTCTGGTCTCTCTGGTCTCTCTAGTCTCTCTGCTCTCTCTCTCACTCATCTTGTGCCTTGTTTTCTCAGGAGAATTATCCCGGTCAGCAAAAGACATTCAACATTTTCAGTGTGAGATCCGGGCGGACTTACCTTGTCGAGGTGCGATGCAGACCGGACCACGGCCTCTGGAGCGACTGGAGTCCTACAACTACCATCAAAGTACCTCAATGTGAGAAAAATACTCTTTTTATACGCAGATACAACAACAACACACTATTACTATGGACAATATACATCTTTCCCTTCTTTCTCTTACAGATTTTTTGGGAGAAAGATACCTGTGGATCCTTATTTTTGTGTTTTCCTCTTTGGTGATTCTCATTCTCATTTGGATTATTTACATGAACAGCCAGAGGTACTGCTTCTTTCATGACAGAATATATGCTGGTACGTGTGTGTGTCTCATGGTACTCATGGTTCTTTGTCTTATTTGAAGCTTGAAGCGCTGCATTCTACCTCCTATTCCTGGTCCAAAAATCAAGGGATTTGACCATCAACATATAAAGGTATTCGTCAATTCTTTTTTTTTAATAGCCTTAAATCACAACAAGACATTGGAGAAAAACTGAAATTCCCGAAGCCACACGACGTAGGGCTGAGTCGGCTGCTCCACATCACTGTATGAGAAAGAAAGAATTTTTTTTGTTTTGTTATTCACTAATTTTCATCCCCTTAATTTGGCCATGTCTGCGCAGGGGGTGGCAATCAAGAGCACAAAAATAGAATTGGCTTTTCAGAAAACTACTTGGTAAAGGGTAATTGCTAAGCCTTTAAAAATATTCTTCTAATGTAAATGCGTTTTGTTAGCCTTCTGAGATTCTGTTTTTTATAGAAATGCCACTATCTCTCTCTTGTCTCTCTCTCTTGTCTCTCTCTCTGGTCTCGCTCTCTGGTCTCTCTCTCTGGTCTTTCTCTCTGGTCTTTCTCTCTGGTCTTTCTCTCTGGTCTCGCTCTCTGGTCTCTCTCTGGTCTCTCTCCCTGGTCTCTCTCTCTCCGGTCGCTTTCTGGTCTCTCTCTCTAGTCTCAATCTGGTGTCTCTCCGAACTCTCCCTGGTCTTTCTCTGGTTTCTCTCTCTGGTCTTTCTCTGGTCTCTCTCTCTGGTCCTTATCTGGTCTCTCTCAGGACTCTCTCTGGTCTCTCTCTACAGACTCTGACTCTGACCAGAAAGAGTCTCTCTCTGGACTCCCTCATGGTGTCTCTCCTAACTCTCTCTTTGGACTCAGACTCTCTCCGGTCTCTCTCCTAACTCTCTCTGGACCCTCTCTCTGGACTCTCTCTGGTCTCTCTTTCTCTAGTCTTTATCTGGTCTCTCTCTGGTTTCTCTCCAGTCTCTCTCCTAACTCTCTCTCTGGTTTCTGTGGTCTCTCTCTGTTCTATCTCTCTGGTCTTTCTCCAATCTCTCTCCTAACTCTCTCTCTGGTCTCTGTGGTCTCTCTCTGTTCTATCTCTCTGGTCTTTCTCCAATCTCTCTCTAGTCTCTCTCTCTAGCCTCTCTCTGCGGTACTCTGTAATTTCACCTTTCTGTTCTCTCTACACCTGTAGAACGGCGACTACAAAGACTGTTTCAGCACATTGATGATCCCTGAGTTCCCTCCGACCTCTTCGCTCGACCACGACAACCTCCTGGTGGAGATATTTGTCAGAGACGAACAAGAGGCATCCACGGAAGAAGAAGGCAAAGATCTGCAGGAAAACTACTGCAAGTCCGAAAGCTCCATGTTCGACAGCGACTCCGGCCACGGCAGCTGCGATAGCCACATCCTCCTCATCGACAAAAGCAAATGGACAGATAACGAGGAAGCAATCTCGAATCGCGACGTCGTAAAGCCTGAAATATCCCAGAACAGCCGAGCAGAGAGGCCGTCGAGCTACCACAGCAGTCCGGACGCATGCGACGGACGAGTCAAGACCTGGCCTTCTCTTTTCAGCCCTGCCCCGCCTTATACGTCCAGCGCGATCCCACAAAAAAGCTCGCTGGAGAGAATGAAACAGCACTGTTATTCCGATAGCTTATTCGCACCGATATCCAGTGACAAAGAGAAACATAAAAAGGAAGCAAAGAGGGAGCTCCAGGCATCTCAGAGCGACGTCTTCGATAACGTATTTCTCACGCCGTTTTCGTCCACACAGTACGTGGAAGTGCAGAAAGTGTGCAGCAATGACACGGTTCTGCTCCAGCCGGTGGTGGAGTTGAACCGAAGACACGCAGAGGCAGAGGGCTGCAGCTGTGTGGTGGGTCAGGGGGAGGATTACAGCAAGGTGAAAGGAGTGGATGGTGGGAATATGGTCCTGCTGGAGAGTGGGGGGAATGGGGCAGGGATGGAGATGGATTGTTTTTGCGACAAGATGGAGGAGAGGAGAAGTTGCTTGGCGAACGTGAAGACGCACAAAAATGTCTCGATGCAAATCGCAGTCCAGCAGGCGCAAGGAGAGCAGAGACAAATGGTTGATAATTGTTATGTTGACACGGCCACCATGTTCTCAGTGCCTATGTGCTAAATGCTGGCTGTGGGTGGTAACCTTAAAATCATGTGCAATGGTCCCCGGTAACACACACACACACACGCACAAACACACACACACCCCATCTGTAGCCAGGACCCTGAAATTTCTTATTTTGAAATGTCTCTGACCTTCCTGGTTAAATAAAGGTCCATTAAAGTTGGAACGGGAATTTGCTAAAAAATGATAAGTGCCATTAGACATTTGTAGACACAGGGGTTCAATTCATTTTTATTCTAAGTATTTTTGTGTAGCCCTCAATCCCAACAGTAGTTTTCTCTGAGGACATTACAAAGGTAGTGAATTTGCCAAACAGATCAGAGAATCAAACAGTTCAAACACAAGAAATGAAAATGATTTTAAAAAACACATAGAGCCATAGGCTGTAAGCAATGTCTATAAATGTTGAAAAAGTCCATAAATGTTGTTGAATGTCGGAAAATCTACCCTTTACCAAGAAGTTTTTTGGAAAAGCCAGATCTATTTTAGTTCAATTTTCACCTATTCTTGAGAAAAATTACAAGAAAATTATGTTTTTATCTCTCCCTTTGTGCCGATATACGATATCGAGCCTACTTTTATAAACTGGAAAATCAAACAACATCTCTTTTGTTTGTCTCTACATCAATCTGCACAAACATCCTGAATGTCACACGAGCCTCTATCAAGACCAGAGATGGAGAATTTTACCTTTTGTACATGTTTTTAATGGTATTAAGGAGGAAACTTACACAGACATGGGAAGAACATGTAAATTCAGAAAAACACTGCTCCGACGGGGATTGGAACCCAGCACCTTCTTGCGGAGAAGCGAGAATGCTAACCTCATGGTCTTGCGGCTGTCAGGGCACTCCATCTGCTGTTTCTCTGTTGATATGTTGTATGCACACATTTTTAAACACTGTAAAAAGGACTTATTGTTTCTTTGTCTGAAATTATTTGACTTTCTACAAAATCAGGAGACCAAACCAAAAAAGTTCTGGTCAATACCATGGCAAGATAGAGATAGATAGAGATTTTACTTTAAAAAAGAGAAAAAACACTGTATACAGTTGTTTGAAGTGCCACATGTGCCTAAACCCCGAAGCCCCATAAACACCATGAAAACAACATAATAATTGAAAACGTTGAGGTGATGCTGGTCTCCGTGACAACTGAGTCCAACAATACAAGAGCATCTCCATGAAAACAAGCCAGTATTCTCTCTGCACCTTTGGATTGAACGTATAGGAATTTTCATAACCTCTTAATTATTTTCTTACGGATAAAATGAAATACGTACACTATCGTCAGTAAAGTTCTAAATATATATGTTGTATATTTTACGGGGTTTCGAATTCCATGATTTAAATTGTCGCCATGACAGCGGTGGATTGTCCATTGTGAAAGCTGAGAAGTTATTGCTATGTTCATTGAGTTTCTTTTGAGCAGCCTAAAGAATGTATAGAGTCGGTTATATTTTTATTTGCTGAACTTGGTTGTGTTAAATTGTGTTATTTTGCCTGCAGACCGAACGCACCATGAATCATCCTGTTTGTTATGAACTCTTGTGTGTTTGACTGTGAAATAAAGAAGTCTATTGTTCCATAACAGCTTTTAAGTGCCGTTTGTCCACTGAAATAGTATGTGCTGATAATTATAACAGATCTGACCATAGACTACGATCTAAAAAAACAAAATGAAGAAAACAAAATGAGGATACGGTTATTGTTTTAAGGTGTATAGTGTAAGTTTATGTTTATTTAAGAAATGCCCCTTGAGAAGAATCATCTCATTGTCGAGGGGGTCCTGAAGATAAATACATACATACAAAACATTGCATACAGAGCATTAAGGATAAGAAAAGATTACGTATACAAATAATAATAATGAATAAAATAAAATGCTCCTTCGCACCCCACTAAAATTAAACATATAGAAAGAAACAAAAAAAAGGTAAAAAGTATCAATGACATTTGATAATAATAATAATGAGGTAGAACATTAGTGACATAAACAAGGAGTTTTAAGGAACCTAAATATTTCAAACTTAAATGAACCAATAGCTTTAATCCCGTAGCACCCTCAGTTACAAATATGCAACAAAAAGTTCAAAGGTTATAATAATAATAATAATAATAATAATACATTTTATTTCTTAGGCGCCTTTCTTGACACTCAAGGTCGCCTTATTTACATACAAGTAAAAAAGTGTATTTTAAAAAAAGTTAAAATACAAAGTTAAAAGCATCATGGACAGAGGAGAGTGTGGTTATGTTAGTGAGTAGGCTTAGGTCTAAACAGATGAGTTTTAAGGTGGATTTGAAGAATGTAAGTGAGTCGGTGTTACGGAGGTCAGGGGGGAGAGTGTTCCAGAGCTGGGGAGCAGAGCGGCTGAAGGCTCTACTCCCCATGGTGACGAGGCCGGGACCAGGAGGGACCAGGAGCTGGAGAGAGGAGGAGGAGCGGAGGGAGCGGGCAGGTGTGGAGATCTGGAGGAGGTCAGTCAGGTATGGAGGAGCAAGGTTGTGGATGGCTTTGAATGTGAGGAGCAGGATTTTGTATTGGATACGGTGAGTGATGGGGAGCCGGTGGAGCTAGGAGGACAGGAGTGATGTGGTTGATGGAGGGGGTGAGGACAGGGGGGTGTGGTTGATGGAGGGGGTGAGGACAGGGGGGTGTGGTTGATGGAGGGGGTGAGGACAGGGGGGTGTGGTGGATGGAGGGGGTGAGGACAGGGGGGTGTGGTGGATGGAGGGGGTGAGGACAGGGGGGTGTGGTGGATGGAGGGGGTGTGTGTGATGAGACGGGCTACAGTGTTTTGGACCAGTTGGAGTTTATGGAGGGTTTTTTGAGGGAGACCGAACAGGAGGGAGTCACAATAGTCGAGGCGGGAGGTGACGAGGCTGTGTATGAGTATGGCGGTGGTGTGAGGGGAGAGAGAGGGGCGGAGTCAAGAGTATGGCGGTGGTGTGAGGGGAAAGAGAGGGCGGAGTCGTCGGATGTTTCTGAGATGGAAGAAGGCAATGCGGGTGATGCTATTAATGTGTGCGGTGAATGATAGGGTGCTGTCGAGGATGACACCCAGACTCTTTACCTGCAGAGGTGAGGGGGAAATGGAGGAGCCGTCAATGGAGCTGGAGAATGTTTTGATTTTATCGAGGGTGGCTTTGGTGCCGATGAGGAGGAGTTCAGTTTTATTGCTGTTAAGTTTGAGGAAGTTTGGCAAAAGAAGTCTGACTTTTGGTTTAACGCATGAACTGAAATGTACCCAAGAACCCAAAGATGCTACACTGCCAAATCTGGTAATTGAATGCTACAATTAAAAACAAAAACAAAAAACAGATAATTTCTTTCAACACATTTTTTTTTATGTCTAGGCACTACGGGGTTAAGGTGAAATGTATTTCCATATCAGTTTTTTTATTTTTATTTTTTAACCTTGTAAGCATTTAAGACCAAGGATACTCATACATTTAATTATCTCCTGAATATGGAGCTTGTCATTGTTAGTTCTCGTCAGGACACACGCAGGAGATCTATCGCTAATTTAATGTTGCCATGACCATGGGAACGAATCCCTCTCCAAGGTTTCCCATATTTTATCCCAATGTCTTTTTTATGAGTGGACCAATGGCTCCTATGTGTTTGTTATTATTGCATTTCCTGTTCAAACTGTTTAATTCTCTGAACTGTTGGTTCTTTGTAAAGTCCTCTGCTGTTATTATTATAGATCCATGGTCCTCTGGGATTATTGTTGCTGTGATTTAGCGCTATACAAATATAAACTGAATTTAATTGAATGGGTTGGACACAAGAAATAGGATCCAATTCAGACATTCAATGTACCAAAAGTTTTGCACCAGAGAAGAGCGAGTGGAAGTTACCATAGCAACACGTTTAATTGTTAGCAGTTAGCATTTAGTAGCATTCAACAAACATGTATTTGTTGTATTTAAATCTATATTCACCAGTTTTAGCACTCATTAAAAGTGAGGTATAACAACATTTTGTAAATGACTTTATTTTAGAAAACGGAGTCACTTTCGGGAGATTTTCTTTTTGGGGATGTTTAAAAAAAAATATTTATTATTATTAATACAAAACATAAAAACAAAACAAGTGCCTTACATAATATTTACACAAAAGACATACAAAAAAGTCATACAAAAATACAACATAAACTCTTGGAAGTCATCATTAGTCATTTAGCATTAGCATGAAAAAAATGGCTTGAAATAAAATATAAAATCCTGTTAAAGGATATCAGAAACTCAAAAGTTGATTTGTAGCCGCGGTACATATGTGTTTTTCTTTCTATCATGCAGACTCTTAACAAATAGTTAGCTAACCACGTGACAGACTCGGCCTATCAGGGACTGTCGCGCGGGGGTCGTTCTGGGGGAACTTTGGGTCAAACCTGTAGCTTTTCCAGGCAATCCAAAGCACAGGTGCCACTCTGCCATTAGCAACAACCACCAACATGTATAAGGCCATAGCAGGCGCCTCGGTCCGTGGTTTAAGTGGATCACACCGTGGGGAAAGTTTTCTCAGATTCCTCTCGTCAAGTGGTGAGTTACTATGGTGACGGGGGACTTTAATGCATTAAAACGATGGTATTTTTATGCAGGTGACAGTATACACGTGTCAACAAAGACCTTAATACATGCACTATTATGATAGTCTGCCTTCATTTGAGGGCATTGTAATTCCTGACCAGGTAAGTTTATGTTCAAATTCAGTTCAATCTGTTTTTGTATAGCCCTAAATCACAACAGTATGTTATCTTATAGGAGTTTACATAGCTGTCAATTTGCCAGCACAGATCAGAGGGAGTTCAAACACAAGAAAATGCAATGCTAAAAAACACATTGAGCCATTGGTGCATGAGTGGAAGACTTAATAAACTCCATAAATGTTAATATTATAAGTCCATAAATGTCTTTGAGGGTTAAGTGTCCTGAATCGTCACCACTGTGCTTAGATCCACCTACATAGGCGAGGAAATAATAATAATGTTACAAGAAACATTTATTTGAGAAATTTGCAACACTTCATTTACCTTCGAAATGATCAAAAATGTGGATTGGACTGTTATGTAATTCCTGAAGTCAAAGGTTGACTTAGTTATTTATTCCTGAGGAGTACTCCGGTCACAACCTGATTTGTTATGCAGCCTATAGGAGATCAAAAAGGACATTCTAATGCTCTTCTACCTCTGTTTAGATTGTTGCATCAAATACTTACAATATTTACATTCCTTAGTTTATGGAGATACTTTTGTACATTGTTCTGTTGCCTACTACGCTTACAGTATATACTCTACTCACACATACAAATGTATTTATGTACATATATTAAATATACAATCAAGCAACTGTATTTGCCATAGTTTCACCATGTGTTGCTTTATTTACAATTTCAATACGAATTTACAAATGTATTTCTATTTACAATTTGTCAGCATGAGAGTGGGAAAGAAGTCAAAACTTGTAAACTTCCGCCTCCTGAACATGATTTATATACATTAATGGACTGTATTAATTTGTTGTGTCCAGTGCGATTTAACACTTTATTCAAGCTAAATATGCAACGATGATCCCAGGCCCAGGCCCAAACCCAGGCCAGGCCCAGGCCCAAACCCAGGCCAGACCCAGACGCAAGAAGCTACTACTGTACCACAACAGTCGACCAACCATGCAGAGGTCTATTGGTATCAAAGGCAATCAAAAATATTTACAAACTTGGAATTTGCTGTAAAAACTGGTCTTACACTGATACATAAACAACAACTGCTACAAACAATTGAGTGAAGATGTATTTTTATATTTCAAATGGTTTATGTTGCATATCTAGTTGAAATATAGCAGTTTCTTCCTTCCCTCCCTGGTTTAGTCCCTGGACTCAGGGGTGTGTGGGATTTATTAAATTATTATTTTTGCAGTTGTTCTTTTGGATCCATCCTTGTATCTTGTTGATAAAGCCATGTTACAGCTTCTTCCCTCTGGCAGAGGATATGATTCACTGACATCTGGTTATGCTAACATGCTAACGCCTTCTTTCCACAAGCGGTTAAAAGCACCTAATGGCCCTTGCACTTGTAGTGAAGCTGTTTTTGTTGATTGGTTTCGCAGAGACAATAGTTTCTTGTACGTTTTAGCTTGTTTATGTATGTTCTTGTCTGGTGCACACTGGGGACTTTTGCACACATGTATTCCAACGTGGTTTTTCTAAGGCTCGCTATCCCATATTCCCAGGAACATTATGTCAGAAGTCTGCCCTAAAACACCCATCCTCACATCCACCAGAGATGCCAGCCTGTGATTTTACCCCAGAAGAATACAAGGTAAAAGCTAAACAAACTTTAAAGGTCAAAAAATATATATCATCATTTAGTAATGGTTTAACTTTTCCTTAATACAGAAATACCTGAACACACACACACTCACACACTCACACACTCACACACTCACACACTCACACACTCACACACTCACACACTCACACACTCACACACTCACACACTCTCACACTCTCACACTCTCACACTCTCACACTCTCACACTCTCACACTCTCACACTCTCACACTCTCACACTCTCACACTCTCACTCTTTCATATTGAGAACTGTAGACATAGTAGCTATGTGCTTTCTAAGTTTGGTTGAGGATAGCATCTCTGGATGCACCGCACCACATTCTTTGGCTACCTGGCGTAGGGAGTCTGATCCCCTGATGTGGGTGTCTGCGCCCGGGCGGGAAAAGAAGTATGGGTTATGGTCAGAGATGGAACAGGCCCTTCTGTTCTCCACCAGCACCTCCATCGAAGCAATCATTTCAGGAGTCAAAAGAACCGGCACTTTCCGACTTCTTTTCCCTTTAATTTCAATGCGTTGAAAATGCTGACACAGCTTTTTCTCAAGTTGGGACAGTCCCAGAGCAATGTCAGAATGGATCCCAGTCTTACTTCTTAAGGTAAACGCTGTCAGTGGCATCTTTGAAACCTCACCTTCCCTTCTCCGATTGAAAATAATGACCTCACAAAGAGTCAAAACTGCCAGTTTAGACCAATGCTTAGACGTTGGCTCACTTATTAGGGTTTGCACATATTCAGGTCGACATACCTCAATATGTGCATGCATGGCTCTAACGTCCTCAGTCAGAGGGAGCAGGTCCGGAGTGTTCCACTTGGCTTTCCGGAGGGTCTGTAGGGCAGCAGAAGAAACACAGACGTCCCACCTCTTCTCAAAAAGCAGCCGGCTTCGTTGGAGGTTTTTAATAAATAGTTCATCAACACAATGCTCCATTTTTGAGTCACATTCAAGAATATCTGCTTTCTGAGGCTATGGCCGAGTTTGAGGGCCAAGGATGGAGTCTTGTATTGATTTGTTTCCTCATCATATCCAGCCACAGACCTGACTGCATGAATCACATGGTTAAAGTTGGAAGGAATAAAGAAATCCTTAATTGTTTTCAGTTTCCCTGCGGTTTTTGCTTCGTTAATTAACCTACCGACTTCTCTCATTTTCTGCCTAATGTAATCATGCTTAGTCTTATCATGCCCGTGTTTTAAGTACAGGTGCTCTCCGAGTCTCAGAATCCCCTTTTCTGCTTTGACAACACCCGTGACCTCATCCTGATGCATTGCCGAAATTAAAGACCACAGCTTTTTGCTGATGCCCTCCGGTACAGGCTGGGCTAGGGAGCAGAGGGACTGGACCCTACTTCTACCTGGTTTAGCCTGGGCATCTTTCTGTGAAAGCCGGCACCTGGCCACATGCCTCCACAGCGACTTTCGCTTAAGCAATGCCCCACAGTCTATACAGTGCAAAAACTCACTGGATTTAACTGGGCAATTTGGCTGTTTAGCTGGGACTAAAGTTCCAATGCCGGCCTTTAAAACCTCAAAATTGTGCTCACGGTTTCCACTATTCCTGATCAAATCAAACTGAAGTTTACGTGCTTTAGACTTCACAGGTAGAGCCAATGCTCTGGCTACGTCACTTTCATTTCCATGTTTTCTAGTCAAATGACGGGACATTTTGTGGCAGGACATTGAACAGTAGAGGCAGAAGTGTCTCTTGCTGTAAACTCGCCCCCCATTTTTCTTCTTTTGCAGCTGCATGATAACAATCTTATTTGCCTTTGGTTCGTCACTTTCCGAGTCTTGAAGAAAAGTGTTTTTGATTTTTCTTTTTCCATACTTTTTCACAGGTTTCTTCTTGACAGTTAAATCGTCAGAATCTGAGTCGACTTCATCAATTAGGGACTCTTGACTAAGCTGCACAAACAACAAATAATTTGTAATCATTCTATATAACAATTTGAAGTCATGACTTGTAGTCAGCACTTACCAGTGGGTTGTAAGCGTGCGCTTCAGTGTGCTGCTCTGTGATTGGCTGCAGCCTAATGAACCACACACTTGCACCTTTTCTAGCCTGACACCTGACTTCCTCTGTTGTGCTGCTCCATGATTGGCTCCAGCCTGCTGGACTGAAATTGCCCCAGTGTGCCCCTCCTTGATATCCCGCAACCCACCACCAGGGTTCCGACACATAACACACTTTTTTCAGGAAAGTAAACCTCCAGGGGTCCTTTCCATATTTTTACAGAGACTGCATAAGGACTGTTAGAAAAGCATTACCCATTGATTATTAAGCTTGGACCAGTGGGGTCCGGTGTTCGGGCCCCACCACGTAAAACCAGTCCCCATGACGTGAGTGGAATCTCAGGTTATGGAACCCACCAGGAGTTGAAAACAAGTGCACACACACACACACACACACACACACACAAATTCAATCTCGGGTAATTGGCAAAAATATTATTTGGACTCAGAGTGTGTGTGTGTGAGTCCAAATAATATTTTTGCCAATTACCCGAGATTGAATTTGTGTGTGTGCGAATGATAAAGCCCACAGTGCATTAAAACAGGTGTATCATGGATTGTTGTGTGTTCATTCAGGGCATGTCAAAGGACCAGATGCTGCAGATCCGCCGTCAGTTCTGTAACCCCATGACCATGAAGGTGACCTTCTATAAACGACCCGTGTTTATCCACCAAGGACACATGCAGTGGCTCTGGGACGTGGACGGGCGGCGCTACCTTGACCTGTTTGCCGGCGTGGCTACCATCAGCGTCGGCCACTGTCACCCGTAAAGTCCTTTCAGATTCACCTTGTACTGTATGTTATAGATATTATCCACTTCTTTTATTATGATTTTGATTGGCTTTCACAGGAGGGTGACAGAAGCGGCCGTGAAGCAGCTGAAAACGCTCTGGCACACCACCAACATCTATGTGTATCCTCCTATTCATGAGTATTGTGAGAAACTGGCTTCTTATCTTCCAGATCCACTCAAGGTTTGTGTTTCTGTTTTTCTCACAGTTAAAGGTTTAGAGGAGGATTTATCTGAATTTTAGGAAAGAACCGCTCTCTCCTCACGCTCTACCTGCTCCACAGAGATCGCCAACTAAAAAGTCACTGTGGGCATCGCTCACACAAGCTCACTTTGCCCAAATAGAACGACTGAAGCATCAGAGGGATAGATAGATAGACCTTTATCCTTTACAATCATCCTCCATCGTATGCACCGGTCAGCAGCCATTCTGTGACAGATCGTTCCGTCATTGATGGTGATATTTCCAATCCGCCTCTTACATTTTTTGAAAACCAAATTTCTGTTTTCCCCGGTTTTAGTCTACTGCTTCAGCTCCAGTCTCCACCTGCTTTTTTCAGCTCTGGACTCTGCTTGACTGCCCTATACCATGGAAGCCCAACCTGTCAGGCCATCATGTGAAAGAACTCCCTAAACACTCTAGTCACATATCACCAGAATGATTGACAGTTAGGAGAACCAATAGTCTTGATGATCCACCTGGAAAAAAAACTCCTCCTATTTACCTTTAACGATCTTCTCTCCAGTAAAATGTTAATTTGTGACAATAAGTCTTTTCTTCTTCATGTGGTTTCAGGTTATATATCTCACCAACAGTGGGTCAGAGGCCAATGATCTCGCGATGCTAATGGCGCGGCTATACACAGGCAACTTTGATATACTCACATTTGGGTATGCTAACAGTGAGGGTTAGCATCGTGCACGGAGCAGTTTTCACATTTCACACATTTCTTCTGTTTTGAAGGAACTCGTACCACGGCAGCAGCACACAGACTCTGGGCCTGACGTCTAACGCAGCGTATAAATATCCTCTGCCCAGTGGGTTAGGCTGCTCCAACGTACGTCTGCAAATGCACAGAAGGATTTGTGTGTCTGTGTTCTTTACAATAATACTGTTGATTCTTCCTCAGACCATGTGTCCGGATGTTTACAGAGGAATCTGGGGAGGAAGCCACTGCAGGGACTCACCTGTGCAGACGACCAGAGACTGCAGCTGTCCACAAGGTACACACACACACAGACACACACACACACACACACACACACACACACACACACACACACACACACACACACACACACACACACACACACACACACACACACACACACACACACACACACACACACACACACACACACACACACACACACACACACACACACACACACACACAACACACACACACACACACACACACACACACACACACACACACACACACACACACACACACACACACACACACACACACACACACACACACACACACACACACACACACACACACACACACACACACACACACACACACACACACACACTGCAAAAAGTGATCAAATGTGAGGTCATAAAAGCTTGAGTTTTTATCTTAATCTGACACATTCTGACTGTGTTAAAACAAAATTCTCCAATGGGACAAATGCATTTAGTCTGATTTCAAGAACTTTTGCTTTATTTTCTTAGTTAAACACGGCAAAGAGTGAAAATACACTTGATTTCAGTGTATTTATCTAATCACATTTTTTTTTTTTTGACTTTTTTACTCATGCACACTGAAACTAAAGTAGAAAAATCAAGATCCACCTGCAGATAATTCTGGTTGAAACGAGTACATTTTCTCTAATAGTAGCTCTTTTTTCTTGTTTTCTTTGGAGCCACTTTTTGCATTGAAGGGAGACGTTTCTTTTATCTTATCTTGTATCTTTTTTAAACAAGATCATGTCTTGTTGTAAGGCAGTCAGAATGTGCTCAAATAAAAAGAAAAACATTTGGCCAAATTTTAGGAATTTTTTACTTATTTTTAATCACTTTTTTTAGATTAAGAGATCCTTTATTTGTCCCACAGTGGGGAAATTTTGGTGTTGCATCACAGGTTATAGAACAGTAGGAAAGAGGAGCACACGGCACGTTAAGTGAACAATAGCTATACTAATCAAAATAAAAACAATTATCTTTTTGCAGTACACACAAAAAGCTGCTCTGTAAAGTCCATTTTAATAAAGTTATTGTGTTTTGAACGCTCACATTCTTCACGCAGGCTGTTGTTTGGCGACGGACCATTACATCGGTCAACTCAAACAAACTCTAGCTACCAGCGTTCCAAGTCGGATCGCAGCGTTCTTTGCGGAGCCGATTCAGGTCTGTGTTCGCAGCAGTTTTATTTTTGATGTCTGGCGAAAGAGGAAATGTTTTGCTTCTTGTTCTGTGTCTAAAGGGAGTAGGAGGAGCCGTGCAGTATCCCAAAAACTACCTGAAGGAGGCGTACAAACTTGTGCGAGAGAGAGGAGGCGTGTGCATTGCAGATGAGGTAGAAGAAGTCCTCTATGGTTTTGGTTTTTATCATAGTAACAGAAGGACTGAGCTGTGTCTGTGAACAGGTCCAGACTGGGTTCGGTCGCACTGGCAGCGACTTCTGGGGCTTTCAAGGACATGATGTGATCCCGGATATAGTCACCATGGCGAAGGGGATCGGGAATGGGTTTCCTATGGGGGCAGTTGTGACTACACCAGGTAAAATTGCAACACACTGACCTCCAACCACCGATGACACACACACACATACACACACACACACACACAGACATACACGTAGATACACACAGACACACACACACACACACACATAGACACACAGACACACACACACATAGACACAGACACACACCAATAGACACAGGCACACATACAGACACACATACACATAGACAGACACACACACATAGACACACACACGCACACACATAGACACACACACACATACACACATAGACACACACAGACACAGACACACACACACACACACACACACACATAGACACAGACACACACCAATAGACACAGACACACACACATACACATAGACACACACACGCACACACATAGACACACACACACATACACATAGACACACACGCACACACATAGACACACACACACAGATATTTTAAAGTCATATCCCTGTGGCTCCTGCTGATCCCAGAGGTCTCCCATCACAGCACTAATCAGGGCTTTCCACACTTATGTAAGATACCCATTCTATGTTTTATCTTCAATGTATCCACTGTAAAAGCACTTTAGGGAAATAAACATAACGATAAAACACTTCCGTCATGTGATCGAGTAAAAACTACACATTTATGACGTCTGCCATAATATACTCTGCACATTCACCATTTCCAGGAGTAAGACATTAAACACGACTCAAAACTCACCCGGAAAGTGTGATTTCATTATTTTTAAAAATTGACATTGTAGATAAAACTGCAGCGTGCGCAGTTATGCGGTCGCTGTATCGGACCGTTGTGGTGAAGAGGGAGCTGAGCCGAAAGGCAAAGCTCTCGATTTACCGGTCAATCTTCGTTCCCTCCCTCACCTATGGTCATGAGCTTTGGGTAATGACCGAAAGAACGAGATCGCGGATACAAGCGGTCGAAATGAGCTTCCTCCGCAGAGTGGCTGGGCGCTCCCTTAGAGATAGGGTGAGGAGCTCAGTCACACGGGAGGAGCTCGGAGTAGAGCCGCTGCTTCTCCACGTCGAGAGGAACCAGTTGAGGTGCCTTGGGCATCTGTTCCGGATGCCTCCTGGACGCCTCCCTGGGGAGGTGTTCCGGGCACATCCCACCGGGAGGAGGCCCCGGGGAAGACCCAGGACACGCTGGAGGGACTATGTCTCTCAGCTGGCCTGGGAACGCCTTGGGGTCCCCCCGGACGAGCTGGAGGAAGTGTGTGTGGATAGGGAAGTCTGGGCGTCTCTGCTTAGACTGCTGCCCCCGCGACCCGGCAACGGATAAAGCGGAAGAAAATGGATGGATGGATAAAACTGAGGCTGAACATCAGGTGTTTATTTTAACATTAGAGTCAATGGGAACATGTGTATAATGGCTCTATGCACAGGAAACATATTGTTTTAAAGGAGCGATATGTAAAAATCTGGCCAAAAGGTATATTACTACTTTTAATGACAACAGAACGACGTGATTAGTTCTGACCAATCTGAATATTGTCCTCTTTTGTCTTGTCTGTTTTTGAAAAGTGCTCCATAGCTAAAGTAGTGTGACCCAAAACACACAGTTTATTGAAGCAGAGCAACAGGACTTAAGCCTGACTGAAGACTATTAACTCATGTCGCTCACAACTGCTGTCCCTGGCTTTGTCTATTACATGTCTATTGTCTTTCCAGATTCTAAAGAACATTTCTATAATCTGTCTGTTTTAGAAATAGCTGCTGCGTTTGCTAAAGGCGTCCACTTCAACACGTTTGGTGGAAACCCAGTGGCCTGTTCTGTAGCTTCAGCGGTGCTCGACGTAAGACCGAGGTTTATTATCGACCGGGACATTTAGCAGTTATAGTAACGAATGAATGTGTATTTACCAGACCATAACACTAGAGGGCACACAACAGAACAGCCTCAAAGTGGGGACCTATCTGATGACCGAGATGGAGAAGCTCAGAGACGTCTATGAGATCATCGGCGATGTTCGGGGAAAGGGGCTCCAGATCGGTGTGGAGATGGTCAAAGACAAGGTACGGAGCTCGGACTCCAAATGTGACCTTAATAATGTGTTATATATTATTGTGCACTGCAAAAAATGATAAAATATGATTGAATGGAGTGGTTTTTATCTAAATCTAAGCACATTCTGACTGTGTTAAAACTAGACTGTTGCTTTATTTTCTCTTTCCAAGGGAGACATTTCTTGTATCTTTTCAAAACAAGATCATGTTGCTTTGTTCTATTGACAAATCTTGTTTTAAGGCTCAGTCAGAATCAAATTTAAGTTGAATTTAGCTAAATTTCAGCAATTTTTGACCTATTTTTCATCACTTTTTGCAGTGTTTTGGGCAACTCTAGAATTGTGATAAGATAAATTTCTAGTTCCCGTGATAAAAATGTAATATATTGAAGATTAGTGTCTTCTCTACAGTATTATTGTCCACTGACTCTCCCACGCTCCAAACCAGACTCAAAACACAAATATTCAGACTGACCTCCTCACTGTGACCCTACATTCCGCTGTCCTTTTTATAATTCTCTTTTTAACTGTTTTTTGCTTTTAACTGTACCTTAAGGCAACATCGAGTGCCCAGAAAAGCACCATAAGAATTGTTATTATTATAAACTTTGAGCCCCAAACACTAATTGATGTACTGTATATAAGTGGTTGAATTCTGAAAAGCAGCGGACCCAAAATGGATCCCTGTGGCACACCCATCTCACCATTTTTTGTCGATTTTTGATTTTTCACCATTCATTTTTACACATTGTTTTTACAAATCAAAATCCAGTCCATGGCTTGTTGTGATACATTAAACTATTCAGAAGCTTTTCTAGAATCTAAAAATACTGCTCCCACAGATTTATTTTGATCAAAACTACATTCTATCACTTTGTTGCTCAGGTACACAGCCAAATTGTTTATAATATAGTAAACCATTTCCCTACAAATGGGTCATTCATTCAGCCACCAGCTCAAAGTACATTTGAAATAACAAGAAAGAAAGAAAGTAAGTATTATTTATCTGTATAGCGTGTTTTACAGACCAAGGTCATCCAAAGCACTTTACAATTGTTGAGAGAGGTTGAAATTGGTCGATAATCGCCTCATCTGCTGAACCAGACTGAAAGAGTTTTGAAACCATAGGAAGTATGAATTACTTCAGAATAACATCTTAAATAAATGTCCACCTCCTTGATCTGCACAAGCTGTGTCTGAAAGCTGAGGTCGATCTGACAAAGCTGCCACTTCATTGATCTGTTTCTCTTAAATGGATTTTAAACAGAGGGAGAACAAAGCAAACTAGAATGCTGCTCTCTGTGACTATCAATACCTTTTTGTATCTTACTGAATTACTTAAAACCCCAGTGCTCATTTCATTATGGGAGACTTGTGTGCTCACTTAAAGGGGCAGTACACAACACAAATGTAATGATGTATTTGACCAGAGGCTGTAGGAGCGGGCAGCACACGGCCTTTACTTTGGATTAGTGTCAGGCTCGTGTCTATAATGGTCCAGGGTCGATTGGTGCAGGGGTCCGTCAGCAAAGAAAAGCTTTTAAAACAAATTATCCTATAGCAACTGAGGGGCCATTGTGATGGAAAGTAAAGGCACAGAGCGAGAGAGAGAAGACAGAGAGAGCAAATATCTGTATTTGTTCCTGTGCACATTACAGCAGAAATGAAAGAAAGAATAGCACTCAGGTTGCACAGAACAAACAATAGAATAATGAGATAGTAAAATGTGGAATATACTCTGGAGACAGCAGCATCAGGTGGTTTTATATCAACAGATGTTTGCTTTGTACATTAGCATTAGGAAATATGACCAGAATAAACCGTGGTAATAATAGCAGAGAGTGACCAGTGAATTATCAGAACAGGTGAATGGCACGTTTACAGGCTCAGCAGTTTTCATTGTACAGTCTGACAGCAGTAGGAAGGGGAACCTCTCCTTCACACAGCAAGGGTGAATCTGTCCACTCTAGAGAGCAGCTTCAGTGACAGACTGAGTGTCTTGCAGGGGGCGACGGTCATGGTCCATTACAGATGTTAGTTTGTCCAGGATCCTCTTATGCCCAACCTGCTGCACTGTGTCCAGGGAACAGGACAGACCTGGACTTCTTGACCGTCCAGCTTCTTCCTGTCCCTCTCCAGCAGACCAGACCAGAGAGCGAGACAAGAGAGAGAGAGAGAGAGGGACTAGAGAGAGAGAGAGGGACTAGAGAGAGAGAGAGACTAGCGAGAGAGAGAGACTAGCGAGAGAGAGGGGGAGACCAGAGAGAGAGGGAGACCAGAGAGAGAGGGAGACCAGAGAGAGAGGGAGACCAGAGAGAGAGGGAGACCAGAGAGAGAGGGAGACCAGAGAGAGAGAGAGAGACCAGAGAGAGAGAGAGACCAGAGAGAGGGAGAGAGAGACCAGAGAGAGAGAGAGAGAGACCAGAGAGAGAGAGGGAGAGACCAGAGAGAGAGAGAGAGAGAGACCAGAGAGAGAGAGACCAGAGAGAGAGAGACCAGAGAGAGAGAGAGACCAGAGAGAGAGACCAGAGAGACCAGAGAGAGAGAGAGACCAGAGAGAGAGAAGAGAGACCAGAGAGAGAGAGAGAGAGACCAGAGAGAGAGAGAGAGAGACCAGAGAGAGAGAGAGACCAGAGAGAGAGAGAGACCAGAGAGACCAGAGAGACCAGAGAGAGAGAGAGAGAGACCAGAGAGAGAGAGAGAGAGACCAGAGAGAGAGACCAGAGAGAGAGAGAGAGAGAGACCAGAGAGAGAGAGACCAGAGAGAGAGAGACCAGAGAGAGAGAGACCAGAGAGAGAGAGAGACCAGAGAGAGAGAGAGAGACCAGAGAGAGCGAGAGACCAGAGAGAGCGAGAGACCAGAGAGAGCGAGAGACCAGAGAGAGCGAGAGACCAGAGAGAGCGAGAGACCAGAGAGAGCGAGAGACCAGAGAGAGCGAGAGACCAGAGAGAGCGAGAGACCAGAGAGAGCGAGAGAGACCAGAGAGAGAGAGAGAGAGAGACCAGAGAGAGGGAGACCAGAGAGGGAGACCAGAGAGAGAGACCAGAGAGAGAGAGAGAGAGACCAGAGAGAGACCAGAGAGAGACCAGAGAGAGACCAGAGAGAGACAAGAGAGAGACCAGAGAGAGACCAGAGAGAGACCAGAGAGAGACGAGAGAGAGAGAGAGACCAGAGAGAGACCAGAGAGAGACCAGAGAGAGAGACCAGAGAGAGAGACCAGAGAGAGAGAGAGACCAGAGAGAGACCAGAGAGAGAGACCAGAGAGAGAGAGAGACCAGAGAGAGAGAGAGAGAGACCAGAGAGAGAGACCAGAGAGGGAGACCAGAGAGAGAGAGAGAGGGAGACCAGAGAGAGAGAGAGAGAGAGAGAGACCAGAGAGAGAGAGAGAGAGAGAGAGACCAGAGAGAGAGAGAGAGAGCGAGAGACCAGAGAGAGCGAGAGACCAGAGAGAGCGAGAGACCAGAGAGAGCGAGAGACCAGAGAGAGCGAGAGACCAGAGAGAGCGAGAGACCAGAGAGAGCGAGAGACCAGAGAGAGCGAGAGACCAGAGAGAGAGACCAGAGAGAGAGAGACCAGAGAGGGAGACCAGAGAGAGAGAGAGAGAGACCAGAGAGAGAGAGAGAGACCAGAGAGGGAGGGAGACCAGAGAGAGAGGGAGACCAGAGAGAGGGAGACCAGAGAGAGGGAGACCAGAGAGAGAGGTGTAGACCATAGAGAGGTGTAGACCATAGAGAGGTGTAGACCATAGAGAGGTGTAGACCATAGAGAGAGAGAGGGGTGACCAGAGAAAGAGAGAAACCAGAGAAAGGGAGAAACCAGAGGGAGAGACCAGAGTGACTAGTAATGACTTTTGCTTCTGCAGTCGAGCCTGTGTGAAAACCAAACGCTCAAAGTCCATTAAAAATGGCCTCTAAAAGTGTCACACTGCATAGATACAGATGAATGACTCACGATTCAAGAGACCACTGTGAGGGGAAGAAAATGGAAAGAGAAGAGCGACTAGAGAGGCCCATTAGAGAGACGCACTTCTATTTTATTTGTGTGTATAGACTTATATATATATATATGTTGATAATTACAGTCCAGCAGAGATCCTCTTCCCGCCGAAGCAGTAGGCGAGATCCTTGAAGACGTGAAGGACATGGGGGTCCTGATTGGCAAAGGAGGTCTTTACGGACAGGTACGTTTATCTCGTGTGGACCTTTAAATAGTTTTGGAGATATAAATAGCCAACCACTGTTTTTCACTCCAGACTTTCCGGCTCAAGCCTCCCATGTGCATCACAATGGAAGACGCTGATTACTTCTTGGCTGTATTCAACAAAGCCCTGAGTAACTACATGGAGAGAAAATGAGTTCTAGCGTTCCGGAAAACTCTATGACCCTTTCTGTTATATGTCTGGCTTCGTTTGACCTGAGAGAGGCACTAGCGAGAGAACTGCGAGAGAAAAAGATGACCAGAGGTAAAGAGAGCCGAGAGATGACCAATAGAGAGACCAGAAGAGAGACAAGGAGAGAGACCAGAGTGAGAGCAGAGAGACCAGAGAAAGAGCAGAGAGAGGGAACAAAGAGGGAGAGATCAGAGAGAGACCATAAAGGGGACCAAAGAGAGAGAGACCATAGAGGGGGGCCAAAGAGAGAGCAGAGAGAGACCATAGAGGGGGCCAAAGAGAGAGCAGAGAGAGACCATAGAGGGGGGCCAAGAGAGACCAGAGAGAGACCAGAGAGGCCAGAGAGAGACCAGAGAGAGACCAAAGAGAGACTAGAGAGACCAATGCAGAGAGACCAGACAGTTCCCATTCAGAGAAACCTACAGAGATCCTTTTAGAAGAGTTCTCGGACCAGTGCGAGAGAGACCAGAAGAGAAGACGTTTCGAGTACCATGGAGAGCTCTGTATCTCCAGAGTCCAGAAGAGTCGTAGGTAGACGAGACCAGAGAGCACCGATGAGATGAATAAAGAGATAGATTAAATGAATTAGAGCTGCAGGACATAAGAACACCATGAGAGATTCCAAAGAGAGTACCAAGAGAGACCAGATTGAGAGACAAGAGAGATGACCAGAGTTCGATTCTCTTATAGAGAACCAGATGCACTGATCTAGAGAGAGACCACAGAGAGCCAAGAGTCAAAGAAAAGAATGAGAGACCAGAGAAAGGATTTTCACTTATAGAGACTCACGTAGAGATCTCCTGATATCAACCGTATGTCTAGGTCCTAGAGGTCTCAGAGAGAGACCAGAGAGAGACCAGAGAGAGAGACCAGACAGAGAGACCAGAGAGACCAGAGAGAGACCAGAGAGAGACCAGAGAGAGACCAGGAGACAGAGAGACCAGAGAGAGACCAGAGAGAGACCAGAGAGAGAGACCAGAGAGAGACCAGAGAGACCAGAGAGAGACCAGAGAGAGACCAGAGAGACCAGAGAGAGACCAGAGAGAGACCAGAGAGAGACCAGAGAGAGACCAGAGAGAGACCAGAGAGAGACCAGAGAGAGACCAGAGAGACCAGAGAGAGACCAGAGAGACCAGAGAGAGACCAGAGAGAGACCAGAGAGAGACCAGAGAGAGACCAGGAGACTAGAGAGAGACCAGAGACTAGAGACCAGAGAGTGACAGGAGACTAGAGAGACCAGAGAGAAACCAGAGACTAGACCCCAGAGAGTGACAGGAGACTAGAGAGACCAGAGAGTGACAGGAGACTAGAGAGACCAGAGACTAGACCCCAGAGAGTGACAGGAGACTAGAGAGACCAGAGACTAGACCCAGAGAGTGCAGGAGACCTAGAGAGACCAGAGACTAGACCCCAGAGAGTGACAGGAGACTAGAGAGACCAGAGACTAGACCCCAGAGAGTGACAGGAGACTAGAGAGACTAGAGACCAGAGAGTGACAGGCGAGACCATAGAGAGACCAGAGACTAGAGACCAGAGAGTGACAGGAGACTAGAGAGACCAGAGAGAAACCAGAGACTAGACCCCAGAGAGTGACAGGAGACTAGAGACCAGAGAGTGACAGGAGACTAGAGAGACCAGAGACTAGAGACCAGAGAGTGACAGGAGACTAGAGAGACCAGAGACTAGAGACCAGAGAGTGACAGGAGACCAGAGAGTGACAGAGAGACTAGGAGACTAGAGACCAGAGAGTGACAGGAGACTAGAGAGACCAGAGACTAGAGACCAGAGAGTGACAGGAGACTAGAGAGACCAGAGACTAGAGACCAGAGAGTGACAGGAGACTAGAGAGACCAGAGAGAAACCAGAGACTAGACCCCAGAGAGTGACAGGAGACTAGAGAGACCAGAGACTAGAGACCAGAGAGTGACAGGAGACTAGAGAGACCAGAGAGAAACCAGAGACTAGACCCCAGAGAGTGACAGGAGACTAGAGAGACCAGAGAGAAACCAGAGACTAGACCCCAGAGAGTGACAGGAGACTAGAGAGACCAGAGAGAAACCAGAGACTAGAGACCAGAGAGTGACAGGAGACTAGAGAGACCAGAGAGAGACCAAAGTGTGACCATTGTTTTCTGTTTACTGTCTTTGTTTAATAACGTAATACAAATATTGAAAAAGAAGTTACAAGTCACTGCTTTATTAGATGCATTGATGAGAGCTGACAGTCTGTTGGGTCGGAGAGTTTTTCATTTCTGTCTCTTTGTGAAATGGCGGCCTTCAGACGGTGGATCGTTATCTGTTTTTCCTTTTGTCTTTCCTGTTTTTGCCTGAGGATCCGTGAGCGGCGGAGTGCGGGAGTGCGGTGGCGTGGCCGCTGGTTCTGAGGTGGTCAAATAACTTGTTCCGTGTTGGAAATTCACCGCTACAGGCGTCACAGCGAAGGTTCACCTCTCTCTGCAGACAGAAGACGGTTAAAGGACAAATGTTATGGACTTTTAAGAGTCTTATCTTCAGACATGAGCCGCGGACAAACCTCTGCGGCGTCTCCGTTTTGTGACGGCAAAGGTTTCGATTTGTCTTTGGAAACTCGTTTGGCTTTAGATTTTCCAGAACTGCAAAAAAAGACAAGAGATGTATGAAACAGGGTGTGCATTTTACATTGACAAGGCAAGTTTATATGTATAGCACAGTTCATACATAAGGGAAGTCAAGGGGCTGAACAAAACAAGATGGGAACAGTCACACAAGGCCTTAAAATCATTTATAATCAACGTACATTATAAAAGTAGATACAATTCTTCAGTTGTTGCAGCGAAACTGGTATAAACCTGGATTTGGACATTGTTATAAAAGAAGCCTGTCTCACATTTCCAGGAAGACTGCTCCAGATTTTAGCTGTAAAAATCTGAAACACTTATTTATTTGATAGGGACAATGCACATTAATGAACATCAGTATAAAACAAATGTAAATATGCCGGATTATAGCTACCAAGCTAGTTTCATCCGTAGTCCCCAGGCAAGAAAATGTATGACAAGAGATGACAACATACAATACAATAAACTACAAAATAACACAATACAGACAACACAGGGAAAAGTTAAGTCTAGTGGTCACATGACTGGTTTCTTTTAAGCCCCTGTTTGATTTGAGTTTTAAAGGTGACCAGTGTAGGGCTCTCCCGTAAGTGCAGAGAGAGACTGTTCCAGATGTTCATGGCCCTCACAGAGAGAGTGTTCTGTCCAAAGGCAAAGACACTGCCTCTCCATGTTTTGTCCTGACTCTGGGACCAGCAGTCCCTGTGCTCCTCAGAGTCAGAGGCCAAAGTCCCCCAAAGCGCTTTACAAGGTTCAGATATATTCCATTCTCTCCACACGTGATGACAGAAGTGAGACGTCAAACACACTGGACCATCAAAGCCTCCGACCAAACACCATCCATTCACTCATTACATTCAGACCTATTGTACATGCTTTTAGTGTTTGGGGAAACCGGAGCAACACAGGGAGAACATGCAAACTCCACTCAGAAAAGTCTGGAGGTGGAATCTGCTCTCGCTGTGCAACACAAGCTCTAGCCACTGCGCCACCGGGTCACACCTTTGCTATGGTTTCATCTATTTTCTATGCAGTTTACCGTAAACACAAACTAGGTCCATTTAACCTTCATTGATGCATTAACAGTTACACAAGTCTATTTTTATAGGATCTAGATTCTTATGTGGCGTTAGCTTCATGCAGTAACGGGGTCAGGCGTGTTGCTTGGACGGTTGCTACGGTAAGCTGGAGTTTCCCCCGCAGATGAAAGCACCTGAATCTGAATCCAGATATGAGCCATTTATAAGACCAAAGACAAAATTAAAACGGTAGGATCAGAGAACGGGATTGGCCTCCTGCCGGTCCCAAAGTCAGGACTAAACATGGGGAGGCAGCATTTCAGATTCATGCAGCTATAATCTGGAACAGTCTTCCTGAAAATGTCAGACAGACTTCTTCTCTGACAATGTTTAAATCCAGGTAGCTCTTTTTAGTGCACTGTGGTCATTTATTTTATTGTGATCGTCTCCATCTTGTTTTGTTCAGCCCTTTGAGTCGCATTGTGTATGAACTGTGCCATACAAAAAAATTTGCCTTGCCTACTTTTCAATGCAAGTCACAAGGAGTGAGTTGGAGCAAAAGGACATTTAAAAACATGTAAAAAAGCGTTATTGGACGAAGAAGACGGTAACCAACACCATCCATGGTCTGAAAATGTTTTTATATGTGCTAATTACCCGTTTTAATTGAACACATATGTATATTTTATATTGTAAAGTTTGCGCCCATTTTTTCTGGCATAACTACAGTTGTTCATTCACCCGTTATCGACCAATGGCTCTATGTGTCATTTTTTTAACATGGCATTTCCTCTGTCTGAACGGTTTGATTCTCTGATCTGTTGTTGGCGAATCGACAACTTTGTAAAATCCTCTGAAGAAAACAACTGTTGTGATTTAGGACAAAACAAAATTACATTGAATTGAATACAGTTGGAAACAGAGCCACTACTGGGACATTTACAGCAATGTTGATTTTTGCGTACAGTCCCTATTCACAAAAACAAAATGAATACATAAATAGGCTCTAGCTAGCTTGTGTTCAAAACGGCTTCTTCTGCATTAAGGCCAACTCTATGGAGAAGCCAGCACGAGGTTACAACTACAACTACAACAAAAACAGAACTGAGGGCTAATAGAAATAATATCCATCCATCCATTTTCTTCCCCTTAATCCATTTCTGTGTCAGGGGGGGTGTCAGTCAGAGCTGCACCCAGTCCACACAGCTCCAGCCCCTCACTGATCCTCCTGCAGGTGCTGAGTCCACAGGAGCCTTGATCTTTTAGCGGGGGCTTCAGGCAAAGTGGGGTTAAGTGTCTTGCCCAAGGACACAGCGAGAGCAGACATCAGTGGGAGTCATGAAGTAGGTCTTGTGTTGGGCTCGAACCCACGACCTCCAGGCTCAAAGGCCAATGCTCTACCAACTGAGCCACTGTTGCCCAAATATAATAGTAATAATAGTCCTCTCCTAATACACACACAGTAAGTGCACTCGTAAGTACTCGGAACGGACTAAAGCGCAGTACTTCCTGCTCTCTCTCTCTCTCACTCCATGGATCTACACACTGAGGTTGACATTCATGTACGATAATGATGATAATGATAAAAAACCTCAAAGTTCACCCAGAGTCCTGCAATTACATCACGGCTACAACACGCTATTGTCTTTGGTGGTAGTTGGTGGTATGTTTTTTTTATGATTCAATATCAGAGATGGAGAGTTACCGCCAATAACTATAAATGGGGTTCAAACCTCTTGGCCTCAGACGGAGCGGGCTCTTGTGGCTTCTCTGGTTCTGTGCGATTCTCTTCTGGATTTTCCGGTTCTTCGCTAATGGTTGTCGTCGTCTCTGGTTGGACCTCATTCTCTGGAGCACTCTGCTTTCAGTGAAACAAGAGTAAATTACATATGAATTAAACTTGTGATCTACATTAATTGATAATGGGCGGCACGGGGACTGAGTGGATGGGCACTCTCACTTCTCGGCAAGAAGGTTCTGGGTTCGAATCCCGGTCGGAAAAGGGCCTTTCTGAGTGGGGTTTGCATGTTCTCCCTGTGCCTGGATAGGTTTCCTCCGGGTTTTATCGGGAACCACTAAAAACATGTACAATAGGTCTGTGCCTCCTGTTCTGGCCCCGCTCCAGCCTACAATTGTAAACCACTTCAAACTACACAGATTCAGGGAAGCAATTCAAGACCTAGGACTAAGATGAGGAGATCTTTCATCCGTCCCACAGTTGGGAAATGTCAGTGTTGCATCAGCAGTTAAAGAACAGCAGGAATGAGGAGCACACGGGACAAGATAAATGAACAATAACAAATAAAAACTCTAGCTTTAGCATTAAAAAATAGGCGTAAAATACTGTATATTCTAGTGCAAGAATTCACCCTGAACTAGTGCACATGTTTTTAGTGGTGGGGGAAACCGGAGCACCTGTCAGGAAACTTACGCAGACACGGGGAGAACATGCAAACTCCACTCAGAAAGGTCCTGTTTTCCGACCGGGATTCGAACCCAGAACCATCTTGCTGAGAAGCGAGAGTGCTTATAAAAAAAAGCACAGGCTGGCACACTAACCTGGGTTGTTTTCTGTAATTTCTTTTTCCTCTTCTGCTTTTTGGAGAGTCTAATGGAGGAGAGAGCGCACACATAGTCAGACAATCACGCCACAACCATTTTCGAAAATCCACAATGTACTTTTGCTTGGGTCTATCTTCATCCTCCTCGTCCTCCTCTTCCTCCTCTTGAGCATTCTCCTCCCGTCCTTCGTCCGGCTTCGCGTGGACTGAGTCATCGTCTTCCTCCAACTGCTCCCGTAGCAATGCCACCATCTCCCGGTGCTTTTTGGATTTCTCATGGTTCATTTTTCTGCAGATGCAAAGAAAAAACATCTATACAACCTTTTATTTTTATTTTTTACAAACAATAGAAAATGCAAACGAAGGCAAATGAAGCGGCGCAGCCTTGAGCCTGTTGCTATGGCGCATCACTGTTAAAGAATAATGTGTTTCTTTATTCACACAATATCCGGACTTTTTGTGTCTTTTGGGTTCAGTTACTCACGCTTAGGGGTGGGCAAAATATATCGTAGACAATGACATCGTGAAAGTCAATTTGAAGATATGCTTTTTTGTATTATCGTCCTTTTTCTTTTTACATACATATTACAATTAGAGAAGGAAAGATGCCCATTTGGTCTGATGTGTGCCTAAAAAGCCAATCTCCGCTTTATTTGTACATTTCAGTAAATATTGAGCCTTTTTGGATGTGTTCTTTCTGTGTTACTTGAATTTGATTTTTAATGTTAATATATGTTAATGCATGTTTGTGCATGTTTTGCAAAGAAGTGTGAAGCTTCTATTTATGCCCTGGCAGCAAAACATTACAGATCATTTTGACTAAAAATGATTGATTTTAAAGATATCGTGACAATATCGTTATCAGGAGTTGGGAAAATGTTTGTCCATATCGCCCACCCCTACTCACGCTTTGTCAGATTTGAAGGATTTATCGCAGGCCAGGCAGTACAGGTCGAAGTCATCCAGGTCGAGCTCATCGGCACCGAACTCTACGGCGTCTGTGGAGGCAAGAACAGAGTGGATCATGACATTATTACCACTGAGGCCGAGGCAGCTGCTCACAACATGAGAGACCTGATCCTCAAAGGCAGCTGATGAAGGAGCTCTGTCCTGGATCTACAGCATGTTCCTGTTTGTGGGAACAGATTCCTCTCTCTTTATAGGCCCGAGGTTTACCCGAGGTTTCTCACTTGTTTTCCCCCCTGGTTTTTTTTGCCGATGCAGGAGGGTCTAAGGACAGTGATGATCCGGGACATTTATTCACTTTCATTAATGTTTATGTACATCCTGCTCTCTCTGGACCAATGGCTTCTATGTGGTTGATTCTATGATCTGTTGTTGGCGAATCAACTACTATATAAAGTCTTCTGGGACGACTGCTGTTTTGATTTATGTCTAAAACAAAATTATATGCATTTGAATTGAATCAATGAAATTAAGACCATGCACCCAGAATCCTGAGGTGTTCCCAGACCAGCTGAGGTCCTGGGTCTTGCCCTGGGCTCAACCCAGTGGGACAGATGCCAGAGCCACAGGGTCTTCACAACCTAGACAAGCAGCGGCTCTACTCTGAGCTCCCCACCATATCTCAAAGTGAGCATTCAAACATTCAGAAAATGTCTCTATTTTTTATAAAAGGAAAAGTGACTGACTTTGTTTAATATGTTACAGAGAAGTAAAGCGAGCGCTGTCCGTTTGGATGAATCTGAAAGTGAAAGTGTGAGACTGAAATCTCTCCTTGCACTTTGTGAGCACATTCTTTGTTGCAAACACAATCCTGTCTGCGTGTTCACAGGCATGCCGACGCTTTAAAGTAAACGCTTTAATCTACGCATGGCAAGACATCTATATCCAAGGCCAATTTCTTTAACAGTTCATTTTTGAAATACTGAACATGTTTTGAATGCCTTACTATTAATAAAGTGTAATATCCCAGAATTCAATTGGTTTGATCCGAGAGTCCAGCGAGTACTGTACATTTGCAAGAAGTTATTAAATATTAGTTATTATGTCTGAGTGTGTATTTGTGTGTGTGTCAGTGCGTGTGTTAGTGCATGTGTCAGTGCCTGTGTCAGTGCGTGTGTCAGTGCATGTGTCAGTGCCTGTGTCAGTGCCTGTGTTAGTGCATGTGTCAGTGCCTGTGTCAGTGCCTGTGTCAGTGCATGTGTCAGTGCCTGTGTCAGTGCCTGTGTCAGTGCCTGTGTCAGTGCCTGTGTCAGTGCCTGTGTCAGTGCCTGTGTCAGTGCCTGTGTCAGTGCCTGTGTCAGTGCCTGTGTCAGTGCGTGTGTTAGTGCCTGTGTCAGTGCCTGTGTCAGTGCGTGTGTCAGTGCCTGTGTCAGTGCCTGTGTCAGTGCCTGTGTCAGTGCCTGTGTCAGTGCCTGTGTCAGTGCCTGTGTCAGTGCGTGTGTTAGTGCCTGTGTTAGTGCCTGTGTCAGTGCCCGTGTCAGTGCCTGTGTCAGTTGCCTGTGTTAGTGCCTGTGTCAGTGCCTGTGTCAGTGCCTGTGTCAGTGCCTGTGTCAGTGCCTGTGCCTGTGTCAGTGCCTGTGTTAGTGCCTGTGTCAGTGCCTGTGTCAGTGCCTGTGTCAGTGCCTGTGTCAGTGCCTGTGTTAGTGCCTGTGTCAGTGCCTGTGTCAGTGCCTGTGTCAGTGCCTGTGCCTGTGTCAGTGCCTGTGTCAGTGCCTGTGTCAGTGCCTGTGTCAGTGCCTGTGTCAGTGCCTGTGTCAGTGCCTGTGTCAGTGCCTGTGCCTGTGTCAGTGCCTGTGTTAGTGCCCGTGTCAGTGTCTGTGTTAGTGCCTGTGTCAGTGCCTGTGTCAGTGCCTGTGTCAGTGCCTGTGTCAGTGCCTGTGTCAGTGCGTGTGTCAGTGCCTGTGTCAGTGCCTGTGTCAGTGCCTGTGTCAGTGCCTGTGTCAGTGCCTGTGTCAGTGCCTGTGTCAGTGCCTGTGTCAGTGCGTGTGTCAGTGGCCTGTGTCAGTGCCTGTGTCAGTGCGTGTGTCAGTGCCTGTGTCAGTGCCTGTGTCAGTGCGTGTGTCAGTGCGTGTGTCAGTGCGTGTGTCAGTGCCTGTGTCAGTGCGTGTGTCAGTGCGTGTGTCAGTGCCTGTGTCAGTGCGTGTGTCAGTGCCTGTGTCAGTGCCTGTGTCAGTTGCCTGTGTCAGTGCCTGTGTTAGTGCCTGTGTCAGTGCCCGTGTCAGTGCCCGTGTCAGTGCCTGTGTCAGTTGCCTGTGTCAGTGCCTGTGTTAGTGCCTGTGTCAGTGCCTGTGTCAGTGCCTGTGTTAGTGCCTGTGTCAGTGCCTGTGTCAGTGCCTGTGTCAGTGCCTGTGCCTGTGTCAGTGCCTGTGTTAGTGCCTGTGTCAGTGCCTGTGTCAGTGCCTGTGTCAGTGCCTGTGCCTGTGTCAGTGCCTGTGTTAGTGCCCGTGTCAGTGTCAGTGTAGTGCTGTGTTAGTGCCTGTGTCAGTGCCTGTGTCAGTGCCTGTGTCAGTGCCTGTGTCAGTGCCTGTGTCAGTGCCTGTGTCAGTGCCTGTGTCAGTGCCTGTGTCAGTGCGTGTGTTAGTGCCTGTGTCAGTGCCTGTGTTAGTGCGTGTGTCAGTGCGTGTGTCAGTGCGTGTGTTAGTGCCTGTGTCAGTGCCTGTGTCAGTGCCTGTGTCAGAGTGTGTGTCAGTGCATGTGTCAGTGCCTCTGTCAGTGCCTGTGTCAGTGCCTGTGTCAGTGCATGTGTCAGTGCCTGTGTCAGTGCCTGTGTCAGTGCCTGTGTCAGTGCGTGTGTCAGTGCCTGTGTCAGTGCCTGTGTCAGTGCCTGTGTCAGTGCCTGTGTCAGTGCGTGTGTCAGTGCGTGTGTCAGTGCGTGTGTCAGTGCGTGTGTCAAGGCGTGTGTTAGTGCCTGTGTCAGTGCCTGTGTCAGTGCCTGTGTCAGTTGCCTGTGTCAGTTGCCTGTGTCAGTTGCCTGTGTCAGTGCCTGTGTCAGTGCCTGTGTTAGTGCCTGTGTCAGTGCCTGTGTCAGTTGCCTGTGTCAGTTGCCTGTGTCAGTGCCTGTGTCAGTGCCTGTGTCAGTGCCTGTGTCAGTGCCTGTGTTAGTGCCTGTGTCAGTGCGTGTGTTAGTGCCTGTGTCAGTGCGTGTGTTAGTGCCTGTGTCAGTGCCTGTGTCAGTGCCTGTGTCAGTTGCCTGTGTCAGTTGCCTGTGTCAGTGCCTGTGTCAGTGCCTGTGTCAGTGCCTGTGGGAGTGCCTGTGTCAGTGCCTGTGTCAGTGCCTGTGTCAGTGCCTGTGTCAGTTGCCTGTGTCAGTGCCTGTGTCAGTGCCTGTGCCTGTGTCAGTGCCTGTGTCAGTGCCTGTGTCAGTGCCTGTGTTAGTGCCTGTGTCAGTGCGTGTGTTAGTGCGTGTGTCAGTGCGTGTGTTAGTGCCTGTGTCAGTGCCTGTGTCAGTTGCCTGTGTCAGTTGCCTGTGTCAGTGCCTGTGTTAGTGCCTGTGTCAGTGCGTGTGTCAGTGCCTGTGTCAGTTGCCTGTGTCAGTGCCTGTGTCAGTGCGTGTGTCAGTGCCTGTGTTAGTGCCTGTGTCAGTGCCTGTGTCAGTGCCTGTGTCAGTGCCTGTGTCAGTGCCTGTGTCAGTGCGTGTGTTAGTGCGTGTGTGTAATTATATGCATTTGAATTGAAACAATGAAATTAAGACCATGCACCCAGAATCCTGAGGTGTTCCCAGACCAGCTGAGGTCCTGGGTCTTGCCCTGGGCTCCTCCCAGTGGGACAGATGCCAGAGCCACAGGGTCTTCACAACCTGGACAAGCAGCGGCTCTACTCTGAGCTCCCCACCATATCTCAAAGTGAGCATTCAAACATTCAGAAAATGTCTCTATTTTTTATAAAAGGAAAAGTGACTGACTTGGTTTAATATGTTACAGAGAAGTAAAGTGAGCGCTGTCCGTTTGGATGAATCTGAAAGTGAAAGTGTGAGACTGAAATCTCTCCTTGGACTTTGTGAGCACATTCTTTGTTGCAAACACAATCCTGTCTGCGTGTTCACAGGCATGCCGACGCTTTAAAGTAAACGCTTTAATCTACGCATGGCAAGACATCTATATCCAAGGCCAATTTCTTTAACAGTTCATTTTTGAAATACTGAACATGTTTTGAATGCCTTACTTTTAATAAAGTGTAATATCCCAGAATTCAATTGGTTTGATCCGAGAGTCCAGCGAGTACTGTACATTTGCAAGAAGTTATTAAATATTAGTTATTATGTCTGAGTGTGTATTTGTGTGTGTGTAAGTGCGTGTGTTAGTGCATGTGTCAGTGCCTGTGTTAGTGCCTGTGGGAGTGCCTGTGTCAGTGCCTGTGTCAGTGCCTGTGTCAGTGCCTGTGTCAGTGCCTGTGCCTGTGTCAGTGCCTGTTTCAGTGCCTGTTTCAGTGCCTGTGTCAGTGCCTGTTTCAGTGCCTGTGTCAGTGCCTCTGTCAGTGCCTCTGTCAGTGCCTGTGTCAGTGCCTGTGGGAGTGCCTGTGTCAGTGCCTGTTTCAGTGCCTGTGTCAGTGCCTGTTTCAGTGCCTGTGTTAGTGCGTGTGTCAGTGCCTCTGTCAGTGCCTGTGTCAGTGCCTGTTTCAGTGCCTGTGTCAGTGCCTGTGTCAGTGCGTGTGTTAGTGCCTGTGTCAGTGCGTGTGTCAGTGTGTGTGTCAGTGCCTGTGTCAGTGCCTGTGTCAGTGCCTGTGTCAGTGCCTGTGTCAGTCCCTGTGTCAGTGCCTGTGTCAGTACCTCTCTCCTGCGTGCCCAGATCCTCGTCGTCCTCGCTCTCGGACGCGTCTCCGAACTCCTCTCCGTACTCCGCCTCGATCTGCTGCAGCTCCTTCTCCAGTTCAGACATGGCCGCCCAGCTCTGCTCCTTGTACTCTGCTGCCAGTCTGTCGCACCACACATGAACCACGGTCAGACAAAGCCTCACGCGCCATCACTTGGTTCAGAAGTATTTCCAGATGTGTATATTGTACAATAGCAACATATCAATCTCGATCAGGGCTTTTCCATTGGAGAGCTACTTTCATAAAACAGAAATGGAAAAGAATCACAAGACTGTTTCCGATGTATTTATTTAATTTTTTTTTATTTTTTTTAATGTAACTTCTGTAACTGGTTTGTTTTATGTCGAGCTGCATGAATGATAATAGATAATACAATAATAAACTGGAGGTATCTATATTTGCATATTTTTATAGATGGATACTTTATTGATCCCTGTAGGAGAAATTTAGGCATCCAGTAGCAGCAAAATTAAAAAATACAATTATGGCGGTAATTGTGTAAGTGTATTCTCCAATCACCTAACTTAAAGCTTGAGTACTTCTTTTTTGTTCCATAATTTTTATCATTATGGATCTTGTTGATGTGTGCCTAATCGGAGTGCTCTGATTAGTGCGTAACAATGAAAGTTCAACACAGAGGGACGTTTTTTCTTGTCTTGAAATATTTGTAATCTTTATTGACACTTTTGATGCAACTACGGATAAAACTAAGCTTGTCCAAGTTCTTCCTGAACTACAGTATTTGGACAACCAGACTAGATGTAAAAACAAATATCTATTTTCTATTATAATCTCTGCGGCTAAAAAGGCCATTACAGGCCTTAAAGGGCCCCCCGCTGCGGCAGAGTGGGGGGGTATTGTAGGTGAGGTTTATCAAATGGAAGCGATTACTTTTTCTATTCGTCTAAGTAAACAAACCTTTACTCGATCATGATCTAAATGGGTCAGATACATTAACATTGAGATGAAGAGATCCTTTATCCGTCCCACAGTGGGGAAATTTCAGTGTTGCATCACAAGTAGGAAACAGTAGAACAGTAGGAAAGAGGAGCACACGGCACAAGATAAATGAACATAAAGCCATTACAACCAGATTTTGTGGAGGTTCAAAATAATTGATACATGTCCCTTTTACTCTGTGACGTGAAATATGCTTAGAATTGTATTTTATTTTAAGATACCTTCCAAATTTTGTATTTTGATTTATTCAGATTTTATTTGATCTCTCCCTTACTGTAAATAGTTACACCTTTTGATTTAGATTTGAAAAAGAAAAAAACATTCTGGATTACAATGTACATTTTGAATGTTTTAACTTGAATTCACTGTCGGAAAATAAAGAACAATAATTTTAAAAAAACTAAGCTTGTCAACAGTCTGCAGAAGTCAGTGATTTTCCACATGTTTTGATCTGAAGGTCGAAGCTAATACATTTATTGCCGCCTTCACAGATAAGTAAGTAAGCAAGTGAGTAATCTTGAAAAATTATTTATATAACGCCTTTCACAGACCAGAGTCAAAGCAGTTGTGGGCATTTGTCTCTCAGTCCACACAGAGATGGCAGCGGGGCCAGTACAGGAGGCACAGACATGTTTTTAGTGGTAGGGGAAACTGGAGCACCTGGAAGAAACCAACGCAAACACGGGGAGAACATGCAAACTCCACTCAGAAAGGCGCTGTCCGACCGGGATTCGAACCCAGGACCTTCTTGCTGATAAGAATGCTATCCACACAGCCACCGTGCCGCCCAGATGCTAAGAGGAAGACCTTGATTCATCTGGTTTAAAATCACACGCAGCAAAACTTTGGTCGTGTCTTTTTACCTACAATAAAATGTCTCCTGCTGTAACACAATCCCAGACCTTTGCATCTTTTCTCATTTCTGTCAATATCCAAACATAAATAATGCTAGGAAGCTTGCTCAACCATCATGTGTGTTTCAGTTGGCAAAACCTGCTCACTGAAACACAGATGATGGGTGCGTGACCTTTGTTTTGATTTATCCCTGTACGTCTGAGAGTTTACACAATCTTAAATAACGCTACTTTGCCATAATCCCGCAGCCCTCACATGGACCTCCACTCACTTGGCTTGGTCCAGCTTCTGCTTCCGCCTCAGATCCTCCATCTTCTTGGTCTTCTCAGCGTTCTGCTCCTCCACCAGCTTCCTGTGGGCCTGCACTCGCCGGTCGCGCTTACGCACAAAGGCCACTAGTTGGCGCACCAGCTCGTTTCGCTCCTTCCTGGCCTTCTCTCTGGTCTTCTTGTTCTCCTTCTCCATGGCTCGCTTCTCCCAGCGATTGGACGCCTGCCTCGTGTCGTACTCTTCCTTCCAGGCAAAGTTTTTCCGAGTGCAAAAACTCTGCCAGTGAGCGTAAAATATGTGCACGACCTGAAAGGCAAAAAATGTGCATCACTTTTACTTGGAAACAAACTAGAACTTGAGTTGGTCCAGTGAATTAAAAATAAACGGCTAAAAGGACTAACCATTTATTATCAAATTAAAACAACATACATTTTGAGGCATAACACATATATAGATACAGATATATGACTTTTCCGGGGCTAAAATTCAAACTTTTCACAATAATTATATTAGCAATTTCTGGATTGTAAGACACTTAATTTTTCTAAATCTTTGTTTATTTTGTTAGAGTATCTCCAGGGCACAGGAAAGAATTTGGACACAACATGAGCCACTCTGATTTAGGTTTATGTGAACAGCAAAGAGAGGCAGTCCGAGGTGATACACGAAATACAGGACTAATTTGTGATTAGGGCTGTTGTCAGAAGAAGATTATTGACAGTTTCACCCTAGCCAAGTTTAGTAACTATAAGATCCTTATTTAGTGCAAAGAATATATTGGTGAATGAGACTTGGAAGTAAAAGGATAATGTTTGCCTCCCCAGTTCATCATGTCATTTACCTTTAGCTTTGTCCTTAAAAAGTGAAACATGTAAAAAAAAAAATATTTGAATTATGTGTCCACATAAAACTGTTGTCAATCAGCTGTTGGTTAAGTGTTACATTACAACTTGAAAAGCTGCGGCTTATATTCAGACAAATGTACTTCCCTATAAAAATGTAGGTGGTCTGGTTCATACACAGGTGTGCTTCATAGTCCGTTAAGTAAAAGAATACCTCACAGAAACCCATACATTTACAGTACATACATTTGATTGCATACCGTATCATAATCACTCTGAGAATCTCCGAAAGAAGGAAATGAATCATCGTCATCTTCCTCGTCCGCTTTGGTATGCTCCATCTCCTCTTTCACAATGAGCTCAAACAGATGCTTGTAAACTGAGAAAAAACCCTAAAAAAACAAAACAAAGACAACAGTGTTTAATGAAAGTTTTAATACAGAATGACCCTAACCGTAATAACAAGTAAATGCCTTAAAATAATACAACAAATGTGTTCTGTTACTTTACAAATACCTTCTCATTGTCCCCATAGCCAGAGTAACAGGTGACAGTGAAGTATTGGAGCAGGTCAATACTGTCATCTTCATAATCTCCACTGATACCGCCTTTGAGCAAGGCATCTCTGTGATTGTCATACCTTAGACCAGTAAGTACACATGTGTTAGCAGATAGTTAGCATTATAACACCAAAATATTGACATGCTTACACACCAGGCCCTCTCCTGTGGATCACCCAGGACATCATAGGCGGCCTGGATCAGCTTGAATTGTTCGGCAGCTTCTTCGGAACTGTCCAAGTTCTTATCTGAGAGATTGTAGACAAATGATAAATGTAAATAAAAGCCATGCAACTGCTGGAGCTTCTGCAGTAGTTACCTGGATGCCACTTCAGAGCAAGTTTTCTGTAGGCTTTCTTCAAATCATCGTCTCCAGCATCGCGTTTAACCCCCAGAACTTCATAGTGACACCTCATTGTGGATAAATTAACAACTAGAATAAATATTTGAGAAGTAAAAACGTTGCAAAGGCTCACGTCGGAGGTCCTGTTAGCATAATAGAGGTAGCGTTACAGCTAGCAAGCTACAGCAGCACATGCCTGAGAATGGTAGCTTGATGTTTAGACTGAATTATACATGATTGATTTGAGAAATATCAGTGTTTTTGTATCTTAAATGTAATGACTGGACGGGATGGGAACACGCGAGGCTAGCTTATGTCGCGCCGGTGTGACTGTGCTGCCCCCTGGAGGCCTGGAGGACCACGTGCAGTTTAGTGAAGGAACTCTCCATTTCGAGTGATTTGGTGACATTTTTTTTTTTATTAAACCAATGTTGACAGTGATAACAATCATTGAAACAGGTACAGTAATCAACAATTAACCGTATTTGCACATGAAAAATTACCAGTAGACATTAAAATAATGGACTGGATCAGTGCAAAATTAAAATTGTAAAAGAGAAAAACAAAACAAAAAACAAAAACAAGATAGGGAGAAAAATAGAGAGGATAGGAGAGCCAAGAAGAAAAAAGGAAAAATAAATAACAAAAAAAAAACAAAAAAAAAAAACATAAGCATAATCTAACGCTAGGGCGGTCATCTAGTGTTGAGATCGTAGAAGTTGAGATGATGTAACAGGCTCTTGACATTCCCTCTACCTCAAAACTCAATCATGAACGATCTCTTCCAAGCCCGCTAGATTTCCCAGAGCAGTCAATTTGACGGCTTTTACTACTTTAGCGTAATTACTCCGCGTATGTATGTCTTTGCTCTTCATAACTTTTTGTCTAGTTTCTGCGTAGTTCATGATTAAACAAATAATAATAATAACTTTTGGACTGAAAATACGAAAGTACAAAAAATAAGGCACGCGCACACGTTCAAATGTTTCGATAAGTGATGTTTAGTTTAGTTTATTTATTTATTTATTTTATTTTTTTTTTATTATTTATTTCATTCATTCAAAAGCGACATCATGCAATCACCACAAGACCGCCAATCCAACATAGCATGAATGAAACGGAGCAGAGGAGAAGAACAAGTCTTATAATATTTATCTGTTTATTAATTTATTTCAACAGGGACAATGTGCAAATACATTAATTAAAGATGCTTTGCACCAGATTTAGCTTGAGCTAGTTTCCATCTGCAGTCCCTGAGCAGGTGATAATGCATTTTTTACCTTTCATCCATTCAAAAGATTTTAAGTATTTTTTCTTGAATACGGTAAAAATAGGCTTCACATTTTTCCATTTACGTGAATGAAAAAAAACATTTGAAAGCAACATAAAATTATTTAAAATACGTTTAGTTTGAGTGTCCAACAGGATGATGCCAAAAACAATATTTTTTATTTTTATGATTGATTTTTGAGGTGAACAGAAGACTGTATCGCTGACTGCGGAGGTCTTCCCTGCCTACACCCCAGTCCGGCAGGGAGCGGTATGGAGCGGTATGGAGCGGACCGGCCGTAGAATGTATCTGCGGAACTCGTGTGTTGATCGATGAAAGCATGGCTGCCTTCAAGAGAAAACGAGGGGCTCAAGGAAACGCTCCTAAAAAAGCAAAAAAAGTTAAATTTGAGGAGAAAGCGCCGAGTACTGAAGCCGACTCTGAAAAGACCCACGAAGTGTCTGTTCCAGCCCCTGTGTCTTTGGTGAGTGCTTTAACGATGGCGAGGGAGGCTGCATGCTAGTTTGTCCAGGAAACCTATCTGATTTAGGGTCCACAATTTGTTTACATTGTTGTTATAATATTTTCGAGTGATGTTCAGATGAGGCCCCGTGAAGCATCAACACCGGTCCATGAACCAATGCTCCAGAAGGATTCGTTTAGGAAGAGGCCAGGAGTGGCTGAGTGGATAGCTTTCTCGCCTCTCAGCAAGAAGGTCCTGGGTTCGAATCCCGGTCGGACCAGGGCCTTTCTGAGTGGAGTTTGCATGTTCTCCCCGTGTCTGCGTAGGTTTCCTCCGGGTACTCCGGTTTCCCCTACCACTAAAAATATGTCCAATAGTTCTGGCATGCGCCTCCTGTACTGGTCCCGCTCCCATCTCTGTGTGGAGCGAGAGACAAATGCCCAAAATTAACAATTGTAAACTGCTTTGAGACTCAGATCTGCAGTGAAAAGGCGGTATATAAATAAAAGATTACTTACGATTACTTACTTGCTCAAATTCAGCACAATCAACTACCTACATGTACTTTACAACATGTGATAAGACCACCATGAAACACTGTAGTAGAAAGGAATGTGCTCATATGTAAAAAAAAAAAAAAACAAATAGGATTGAAACATTTTATATTGAAGTGTTTTTCGTTCTGCTCTCTGGACTGACTCTCGCACATGCTTCAAAGCCTCGATTCATTTCTCCCATCACTAGTTAGAGCAATTTTCCCAAAAAAACCCTAACCCATCTCAAAACAATTCCTGGTTTGCAAATTCTCTACACGTTTCTCAAGAACATACATCTCCACAGGGAAAATGGACCAACAAAGAGAGAGTTTTGATTTTCTCCTCTCGTGGCGTCAACTACAGAACAAGGCATTTGATGCAAGATCTTAGGACCTTAATGCCTCATTCAAAAGCAGGTAACATTTCTTTTGTCTTGTCTTCATAATGTATCAATACAACAAACTGTAAACACAATGAATATTAAACTCTCTTGTGTGTAGATACAAAAATGGACAGAAAAGACAAGCTGTTTGTGATCAACGAGGTGAGTTTTTCTCCATTTGACGTGAAGTCTGATCAAATCACAGCTTAACTATTGTCAAGTACTTCCAACTTTTTAACAATTCATTCTCTGTTGTTTCCTAGGTGTGTGAAATTAAAAACTGCAACAAATGTCTCTTTTTTGAGGCAAAGAAAAAGCAAGATCTTTATTTGTGGTAAGTGATAATTTGATCTTTCTGTGGAGGAGGTGAGGGACATGAGGGTGTTGGCCAAACTCACCTCCATCATGGACAACACCTCCCACCCCCTGCACAGGACTGTAGAGGAGCTGAGGACCTTACATGTTTTACTTTTTAACATATTTACACATTTTCAATCTATTTGTTATTTTATTGAAGCCATCAATAGTATGTACATTTCTCCATTGTTGAGATCTATAGTTTTATCTCAGTGGAAAAAAAATCTCTCTGGTCTCATTTTTCTTTTGTCTTTCTCTCTGGTCTCTCTTTTGTCTTGTCTCTCTATGATGTGTCTCTGGTCTCTCTTCTCTCTCTCTGGTCTCGGAAAAAATGTTGTTCCATTGTTGATGACACAATAAACTTATGGATAAGAGAAAGTCTGACATTAAGTCTGTAAAAATCTTTACTCCCTGTCTTGATCTAGTTTTGCCCTTGTGCAAAAGAAATTATGAATCAATCAAGTGTATGGTCCAAACCTCTGTAACAGCCCATCGTGGTGGATATCAACCCACGTGTGTAAGAACTGAATGGGAATGAATATACAATCAGAATTATAATGTCAACTTTATAACATAAGATCTGTTGCTTGTGTTGACTAACTTCAATTTCCACAACATCTGTAACTAAATATCATTCTGTTTATCCGCAGGGTTTCAAACAGTCCTCACGGGCCTTCTGCAAAATTCCTCGTACAGAATAGTAAGTTTTGATCATTGTGTAATTGTAAATACTATTACTACTGTTATCAGATGTGTTAATGTATATTTATGTTTCTCTTTAGTTCACACTCTGGCAGAACTCAAAATGACCGGAAACTGTCTAAAAGGATCTCGGCCGTTACTGTCTTTTGATCCTGTAAGTGACACATGTTAGTACTTGCTGGCAGTGTTGGGCACGTTACTTTGAAAAAGTAATTAGTTATAGTTACTAGTTACTTTTCCCAAAAAGTAACTGAGTTACTAACAGTTACTCCACTATAAAAGTAACTAGTTACCAATAAAAGTTACTATTGCGTTACTTTTTCGTTTTGTTCTGGAACATAATGTGCACTCGACGTGCACATGTTGACCTTTAACCTCAGTGAGTCTGAAATGGTGCCAATATTTCCATCTAGAAAAGGCTGTTTTGCTGCTGAAGTCCTGTTCACTCTTCATCTCACAGCACAGACAGAGCGTTACTCATTGTGCGTCTTGAGTAACGCGCAGTAACGGGATGTCGGAAATGATAACAGCGTTATAGTTACAGTCAAAGTAATTAGTTAGATTACTCGTTACTGAAAAAAGTAACGCCGTTATTCCCATCACTGCTTGCTGGACTAATATCTGATGTTCTACAAAGTGCACTCATGTATGACAAGAAAGATAATTTTAATCACATACAGGCCACACTTTGAGTACACAAATCCTAACCATAGACTGTAAACCGACGTAGTCACGCCTTTCTCTGCTGTTCAAACTAATGTGCCATCCCTTTCCACTGCTATGGGGCTTTTCAAAATGGCCGCGGGATAGGGTTAGGGAAATTTGAAGAAACCGCATCTGTGCATGCGTCAGCTGCACAGCCCCATTCATTTAACGAGTGCATTCAAAATTCCACAGCGACTAAACTAGACTGGTCCAAAAGAATTCACTCCCTTCAGCATCGACAAACATGTGGAACGTAGCTTTGGGCCAAGAGCCAACTTTTGGAGCATTCTGTAAAGACATTTTCGAGAGGTAAGAAGATGCTATACATTAGCATTGAATAATTTTAGTTCTGGGTCCACTCCCACTGGCCCGGTGTGGTATTGCAACATGTCGGCTCACGTCATTTTGGACATTTTTGAGCAGGGACACGCCCACACTGATCATTACGCAACGCCTCACTCCGACAGCTGATGGAGCAAAACAAATGCTGTTTTATCTACAGCATGATTCACTGAGGAGGTGTTTAAAGCAGACATCTCCAACCTTTTTTCTGCTGCGTCGTTGCACTGTTGTTGGGTTTTGGAAGTCACTTAAGAGTTAATTCAAAACCAGCCGCAAGACTTTAGTGAAACCAACGCACTGACCTGTGAGCTTTGATGCAGAAGAGCCGCTTTTCGTGTTCTCTCATGAAGTTTTTCAACACAATTGCAGCACCGCGGTGAGCCTGTGCCCGAGATCATCCAGAGACGTCAGCGATCGAGTTGGTAGCACTGCCACAGACTGTAAATAGCCAGTGGCGGCTATTTCCTCCATTGGGAAGTATGTGCCACAGACATGGGCAGATTCAAAATGGCCGCAGGCTCATGAACCTTTTTGAGCCAGGACCCGTCCCCACTGGGGTGAAGGCATATGTCCACAAGCACTGTTTCCTCCATTGTCTGTCTTGGGCTAGTCTTGGGCTAGTCTTGGGCTAGTCTTGGGCTAGTCTTGGGCTAGTCCTGGGCTACTCCTGGGTTAGTCTTGCTTTAGTCCTGGATTAGCTCTTGTTCTGGCTGTTTCCGGCTGCTCCTTCTAGCTCTGAGTGGAAGAGGGGAAACTCCGCTCAGAAAGTGTCCTTCTCTCGTGGTAAACCGCTCCCTAAAATGCAAATATATTCAAATTAGTGGAGAGTTTACCGAATGAAACTGAGAAAAGAGCACTGATGTGTAGGTCACGATCCACAGTGTTCAAAAATCTTAGTCCAGCACTACTGTCATTTTGATCAGGTAGTTTGATGTGCTTTTTATTCATCATTGTTTTTAAATGTTACAGAAATTTGACAAAGAGCCCCACTATGCGTTATTAAAGGAGCTTTTCACACAGGTAATGTATCGCTGACTATTGTTTGGTTGATGAATATTTGTTTGAATTGATATTAACACAATCTTTTGCAGACGTTCTCGACCCCTCGGTACCATCCCAAGAGCCAGCCCTTTGTCGACCACGTCATCACGTTCACCATCGCCGACGGCAGGATCTGGTTTAGGAACTACCAGGTACAAAAAGCACTTTGTTTGGTATGAATACGGCTAATTTATCTGGAATAATTTGTTTATTATCTTTGTGTCTCTACTGCTGTCTGTCTCTCTCTGTGTCTTGACTCTCTCTCTGTGTCTTGACTCTCTCTCTGTGTCTTGACTATCTCTCTGTGTCTTGACTCTCTCTCTTTATGTCTCTCTCTCTGTGTCTTGTCTCTGTGTGTGTGTGTTTCTCTCTTTATGTCTCTCTCTCTCATCCAGATTATTGAGGAGGATGCTTCTCTGGTAGAAATCGGCCCTCGCTTTGTCCTGAACATAATCAAGATCTTCCAGGGAAGTTTTGGAGGACCGACCCTCTTTGAAAACGAGAACTTCCAATCTCCAAACATGGTAAAAATCACACACACAGGAAAACCGGTTTTATTTATTTACACATACAGTAAGAAAATGAACCAGGACTTGGCTTTTGGTGACCCCGCACAGACTATACAGCCGTCAGCACGGAGTCTCACCTCTTGTTATCTGTAGCCTTTGTGTGTTCTTCCCATGGGACACTCAGGGATGGAAGTCTAATATCTAATGTATTTACAGTATCGACGACAGCTGCGACTGGCGGCGGCAGCAAAGGTCCGCGAGAAGCAGATGGTGAAAGAACTGCAGAAGATGAAGAGGACGGAGGCGAAGGAGGACGTGACCAAAGACGTCACGGCGGATGTGTTCGCGACCCCCGCTGCAGAGAAGCCGCTTCAGATACAGACAGAGGCCCCTGAACCCAAGCCGGTCAAGAAGAACCAACATAAGGTCTTTAAGAGGCAGAGGATGCAAATGGCTCGCAGGTAAATGAGGGTTTTTCCATGACCTGGAGTCGGCTGCTTTACTCTTTCGTGTATAAAGCAACTTGCTAAATATATCTGTTTTATGGTGAATAAAGACCTCTGTAACATGTGGTTTATGAATTCAGATGGACTTTTACTGACATTTATGTTCAGTGATCACTCTGCTCCATATGGAACTAAATGGCTCCTTTATTATTGCATTTCCTTTGTTCGATTCTGTTTTGATTCTCTGATCTGTTATTGGTGAAAACTTTGTAGATTCCTCCCTCACATGACTTCTGTTGTGATACGAAAATAAAATTAATTGAAACAAGGCTGGAAAGTTATTTAACTTTGTGCAGCAGGTATAAATTGTCAGTAATTGTGTTTTGAGTTCAACCTGATATTAGCCTCCATGTTGTCTATTCTAGATGCCCTGCTCTTTTTATTAATAAATTAATTTGAATAGTTAAAGATGGTATTAAGGCTTTGACAATAGAACTCCTGAAACTGAGCGATCGTTGACTGCTCTCATTCAAACCAATGGTATTGAGTATGTTTTTACTTCCTTTGTGCTAATAGGTTTAATAATATAACTTGAAACAGAAAATTGTTTGTTGTGCAACTGCTGACGGTAAAGTGTGTTGCTATGGTGACTAGCATTTTGAAATTTAACTGCCATAGTTGGTTACCAAGCAACTGGAAATGGCTACATTTAAATTGCATATTCAAATGTGCCTGGGGCGAAAGGTAAAACACTAACTCGAGTTTCAAAAATAATTTAATAAAAAAATACAAATAAACTACATATAAAGACAGGCACAGTCAAGTTATAAAGATCAAAACTACATGAGCAGAGTACTTCAATACTTTTTGGCCAAGCTCAGCTCAGTCCAGGACCAGCACTTTGAACAAGGGCCTTTAACTGCCACAGGAAGTTGGTAACCAAGCAACCAAAAATGGCTACATTTGAATCTGACATTCAAATGCACTGGGAGCAGAAGGATTCACATTTCCAAAATAAAAGATTTATCAAAATAAGGACCACCTCCTCTCTGGTCTCTCCTCTTCACCCTCCTCTCTCTGGTCTCTCCTCTTCACCCTCCTCTGGTCTCTACTCCTCAGCCTCCTCTCTGGTCTCTCCTCTTCACCCTCCTCTCTCTGGTCTCTCCTCTTCACCCTCCCCTCTCTGGTCTCTCCTCCTCAGCCTCCTCTCTGGTCTCTCCTCTTCACCCTCCTCCTCAGCCTCCTCTCTGGTCTCTCCTCTTCACCCTCCTCTCTGGTCTCTCCTCCTCAGCCTCCTCTCTGGTCTCTCCTCCTCAGCCTCCTCTCTGGTCTCTCCTCCTCAGCCTCCTCTCTGGTCTCTCCTCCTCAGCCTCCTCTCTGGTCTCTCCTCCTCAGCCTCCTCTCTCTGGTCTCTCCTCTTCACCCTCCTCTGGTCTCTACTCCTCAGCCTCCTCTCTGGTCTCTCCTCTTCACCCTCCTCTCTCTGGTCTCTCCTCTTCACCCTCCCCTCTCTGGTCTCTCCTCCTCAGCCTCCTCTCTGGTCTCTCCTCTTCACCCTCCTCCTCAGCCTCCTCTCTGGTCTCTCCTCTTCACCCTCCTCTCTGGTCTCTCCTCCTCAGCCTCCTCTCTGGTCTCTCCTCCTCAGCCTCCTCTCTGGTCTCTCCTCCTCAGCCTCCTCTCTGGTCTCTCCTCCTCAGCCTCCTCTCTGGTCTCTCCTCTTCACCCTCCTCTCTCTGGTCTCTCCTCTTCACCCTCCCCTCTCTGGTCTCTCCTCTTCACCCTCCTCTCTCTGGTCTCTCCTCCTCAGCCTCCTCTCTGGTCTCTCCTCTTCAGCCTCCTCTCTCTGGTCTTTCCTCCTCAGCCTCCTCTCTGGTCTCTCCTCCTCAGCCTCCTCTCTGGTCTCTCCTCCTCAGCCTCCTCAGCCTCCTCTCTGGTCTCTCCTCTTCACCCTCCTCTCTCTGGTCTCTCCTCCTCAGCCTCCTCTCTGGTCTCTCCTCTTCAGCCTCCTCTCTCTGGTCTCTCCTCCTCAGCCTCCTCTCTGGTCTCTCCTCCTCAGCCTCCTCTCTGATCTCTCCTCTTCAGCCTCCCCTCTCTGGTCTCTCCTCCTCAGCCTCCTCTCTGGTCTCTCCTCCTCAGCCTCCTCTCTGGTCTCTCCTCTTCACCCTCCTCTCTCTGGTCTCTCCTCCTCAGCCTCCTCTCTGGTCTCTCCTCTTCACCCTCCTCTCTGGTCTCTCCTCCTCAGCCTCCTCTCTGGTCACTCCTCTTCACCCTCCTCTCTGGTCTCTCCTCTTCACCCTCCTCTCTGGTCTCTCCTCCTCTGCCTCCTCTCTGGTCACTCCTCCTCAGCCTCCTCGTCCGGACAACAGTAGTATTCCACAAAGCAGATTTGTCCGTCATCGTTCCTGACCAGATACTGCAGCGACAGGAAGCCCCTAGTGTCAGTCCGTACAGAGACTTTACACGACAGAGCCAGAGCTTTGGTGGAAGGCTTCAACAACGACATCTTGTACCTGAGAAAACAACAGACACAAGATGGAGACACAATGTGAAAGTAAATGAGAGATTATATATTAACTACAAAAACACAGTGATAGTAAAACGCACCTGTTTGTCTGTGTCTTTGTACACTGGAACAACTCCATCATGTCCGAGTCTTTGGGGTAATCGTAATGAGCGCTTCCAGAGTTCCCAAACGTGGACAATCTAATAAGTAATAGTCGACAATGAATGTTACTATAGCAACAAGACAAAATATTCACTTATTCAATATTAAAGACCGGAAATATGGCTGCGTTGGGGACATGGTTATTTGCAACACTTCGCTGGTCATGTCTAGTTCGGAAAATGCTTCTTTCAAACTCTCCGACTGCAGGATCACCTTAAAGAAATAAATGCAATGATTAGAGATGGTATTCTGTTCCTTTATTGATTATTGTAAATCAGAGAGTTTCAGCCTTAGGATTGATGCCCCCTTTCTCATTTTACTTATATATTTTTTTACTTTTATTATTAATTTAACTAATTTTACCTAGTTTATTTGCTGGCCCTTTTTATGTTTGTAAATGATAGAATATTTGCTTATCTCGCCATCTTGTGTATATGTACGTATATATATATGTATGTATGTATAGATGTGTATGTTTATGTATGTTTTATTATTATAAATCTTTATTAAGGACACAATACAGCACGGCCCATAGTTAAAAAGAAAATATCCAATACACACAGTATATTGCATATTGAAAAATAAAAAGTTTATGTATCTTATTCTGTTGTGCGAGGGTTTTGGGGGAGAAAAGCAAAGAGCAAATACATAATCTGTAAAAATATGACAAGATTGTGACCCCATAAACAAATGTAAAAAAAACATACAAATAAAAAAAGTTGGTAGTTTACAGATGTGAAGCATTTTAAGCACACACTGACTTTGTTTGTGACGTTACTGCTGCAGAAGTCAAAGTCGATGGGTTCTTCAGGCTCCTGGGTGTTGATCTTGCAGACAGTGACCACTCCTCCTTCCTCGAGGAACAGAGTGAGAGGGTATCCGTACCCCACATAACACATCCGCAGAGCTGTCAACACCCCTGAAACATAAACATTCATAAACATACGTTATAGCCATTTTCGTCCGCTGTTATGTATTCAATGTAAATGAATGTTGTAGGTGTCTAACCTGGCACAGTGCTTCCTCCAAAGATGTTAAGGCAATCCAGCAGAACAGTAAGATTCACCTGAAAACCCACTAAATCCTCTTTGATTGTAAATTCTTGGAAGATCTCAGCCTGGGAAGCATAACATCACACAGGTCATTGCAATCCCATCAAAACAGCAACACAAATGTATAACCTTTTTTTAAACGCACTTGGATGAACGCATTGGCCTGCAGACATTTGGAGTCCTCCACCGTCACTTTCAGTCCGTTTGGAGTCGCACTGAAGATGGCGTGATCTTTAAATGCAATGGCCTTCAGAATGTTTGACAGATTGCGAGCGTTATCCAATGTAGCTACCAACACGTAGAATTCCTCATTGGTCTGAGATTGAGTTGACAAGGGCATTTTTAAGCTGCCAAGAAAAACAAAACAGAAAATAGATCAATCCAAGTGGTACTTTTTTGCTAACTAAACTCCCTAACTATTTGTCCTCTCACTCTCATCTCTGTGAGGAGTGAGAGGACAAATTCACACATTTGTAAACCGCTTTGTGACTCTGGTCTGTGAAAGGTGGTATATAAATAAAGATTACTCACTTACTTACTTAACTAGGACAATGTCTTTCAACCAGTGTGCTGTGGCATGTTTGAGTGCCTTGAGATGCTGTTGGGTCTGCCTCCAATATCAATTAATTGGTCAAAACTAGATTGCTTAGACTTGTTTGATTTTCTATATAATAAACTTTGGTGGTAATGACTTAGCATTGTTGATAAAAGGCTATAGAGTTTTATTTTTGTTTAAGTTTTAGCCGGTGTTGTTTCGTACGATTATTTTTAATTACTCAAAAGAGTTGGGGAACACTGAACTTGGATACAACATTAAAACCTAATATAATGAATAATAAACGCGTTTCTATAACTTCAAAGCAATAATGTTACTTATAACGATTTAAACAGTCTATGGAATAAACATATACGACTTTCTATTTACCTGCTATCTCTATCCAAGCCTTTTACAGTGATATTTCAAAAGGAATCCGTGATGTTTTGATATTAGCGCGCCACACGGGGAGCCACATGCTACCACTTCCTGCTAACCCGGAAGCTTCTACTGCGCATGTGCAAAGGGCTGCTGGACCAAACAACCAAACAACGCCGAACATTTCCTAACATACTATTTTTGTGGTTGTCTTTTGTACCGGTAAGATATCCACTATTAACTACAATAAATTATAATTACCCTAATTTAGTTAAAGTTGGTTATCGCAGCTCGACAACAAACATGGCTGATGACGCACCTAGCACTTCAGTCTTCAGGAGCTAACTATTCACATAACTGATTTAAAAGAATATAAACATGTGACACACCTGTTAGATGATAATGGTGATTTTAATAATGATTTTAAAGTAACAAGACTAAAATTTTGGAATGAGAGTTTGATTTGGTTGTCAAGTCTATAATACCACACAGTATACGATCTTTACCACATTTTTTATGGCGTACATTTCGGTGGTATTTACATTTTAGAGTAGACTTACTAGATAATAAGTGTACAAACAAGTATATTGGGGATACTTTTACAATTTCCACAACACATTGTCAGATCAGAAAATATTGGACCCAGTTATTTTGCCCTACAAATATATAATCACAAAGAAGGTGAAGGAATGTTGATGTAAAATTGTACATAGATATTACTCACACTCACACATTTTAGTCATTTTTTAGAAGCGTGGATAATTAAGTGATTTGTATTGTATGGCCAATTTGAAGATGTATATTATAAAACATTATATTGTATTTTTATTTGAATGGGACAGTGCACATTATTCAACACGTATCCATGTAAATATACCAGATTTAGCCATGAAGGTGAGGTTATTCTTTTGAAAGTATTACACCTGTTCTTTGATGTTCTATAATAGATTTTCAAGAATATTGGACAGCAATATTCAGAAAAACTTTTCTAACATCCAAATTTTACTCATACTGTATCTCCTTTGATGGAAATTTGAAATTATTAATCTGTTTTTTTTTCTCAGAAAAATACAGCACACAAAATGAAATTCAGCTTTCTGGTTTTAAAGCTTCTGATCTGAAATTGTATTCGGCCTCTATCAAAAATGTAAACTAAAAACATAAGAAATTAATTAAACCACTTTCATTGATAAGCTTTTTATGTATACACTTATACACACATTGTATATGGCAAAATTGTTTACATCTTTTTACACTCTGAATTTTAAGAAAGCTTCAGGTCAGTAAGAGTCCAATCTATAGCAAGAGAATCATCTAATTATTAAACAAAACTGTGTTCTATGATTGTGTCTGTTTTTATTGACTGTTTATGGTGTCTTCTTTCATTTTTAGGTCTTTTCCTCTTAAACATGGTGTGCATTCCCTGCATTGTGATTCCTGTATTATTATGGGTCTACAAGAGGTTCCTGGAGCCTTTCATCTACCCCTTTATTTCTCCGATTATAAATAAGTTTTGGACTAAGACGGCTGTCCAAGAGACGGGCACAACTAACGGTAACATTCAAAACCAAAACAATGACCAGAGTCAGGTACGTACTCTCAACAATGCTTCCATAAAAGTTGGTTGTTGTTTTGCTTATTGCGTCATGGTGATTTATGCTTTATTTTTCAGCTTAAAAACTCTAAAGAAACCGTGGCCAATGGATCACATTCACCAGCTGACAAGAAGACCGATTGAAGAATTGTTTCATGTGGCTTTTCATAGGATAACATTTAAATTTAAGCTTCCTGCTGCACATTGTTTTATTAATATAGTTACACAAATTAAGTTATTCATATATTCATGTATTTTAATGATTTAAAATGGTATAGTTTATTTAATATATCTTTGTTATTATGCAGATTCTCCATTTGTACAGAATGATCATTTGTATTTGAAACGGTTTTCTCAAGTAAATGTCTATGAATGAAACAAATGTGTTTGAGCTTGAGATGATTTGTTTATAGGCTTAATCTTTCACATTTATGTCATCGAACCTCACATTGACATTAGGAATCCCTGTGTTCTAAACTCTCAGAGCTGTCAAGTCGACTGCTAGACAATGGTGATTGTCACCGCGGCACGGTGGCTGAGTGGATAGCACTCTCGCCTCTCAGCAAGAAGGTCCTGGGTTCGAATCCCGGTCGGACCAGGGCCTTTCTGAGTGGAGTTTGCATGTTCTCCCTGTGTCTGCGTAGGTTTCCTCCGGGTACTCCGGTTTCCCCTACCACTAAAAATATGTCCAATAGTTCTAGCATGCGCCTCCTGTACTGGCGACCGCGCTCCCATCTCTGTGTGGAGTGAGAGACAAATGCCCATAATTAACAATTGTAAACCGCTTTGAGACTCAGATCTGCAGTGAAAAGGCGGTATATAAATAAAAACTTACTTACTTACTTGCAATGCAAACTTAGTTGCATAGCACAGTTCTTAAACAACTCTGTCAGGACCATAGTCAGGACCAGGACCATGGATGTCATGCTGCTTTCACGCGATCTCGAAATACTCGGAGATATCATCGAGATATTTTAACAACTTCCCAAAATGAGAACGTTCATTGCATGAATCTATCATATTAACGCTGACGCTGGTGACACACGTGCAACAGCGACAACAAGAAGGCAAACATGCTCTTCTATGAGAAAAACACAGAGCCCTCCACTGTTGTGACATGAGAAAAACAGAAGTCATGTTTTTAGTCCATATAATAAAACCTGCTTTTTCATTCACAATATTGCATATATTGGTAAAGTGTTTGTAACATGAATTCATCTAATGTAATTTTATATTGATCTGACCGAGCAGCGATCGTTCCCATTTCTCCGAGTGGGAAGTCAGAAATTCCGAGTTTCCGAGATCACGTGAAAGCGGCATTCGGACAGAAACATGTCTTCTCTTCTGTGTATTCAGAGAAGCACACACCAGAAAAAAAAGAAACACTCAATATAAAATATATTTGGAAGTAAACGTATTTGTATTTATTATTTTCTTAAAAATAAAATAAAAATACTAACACGTAACTGACGCAAAAGGAATCGTCATGACGTAAGGGGTGGCGACGTGGAAATCATGGTGGACAGTGGGAGCTAGTCAAGTGCCCGAATATCAAGTTCTATCCTAACCCGACTCTCTAAACCCGCGCTGTGGATACTTTAAACACATGTAATGATTATATTTACTCTGACAGACAAAGAAGGACTCAGAGACACCTTCGCTTTACCTTCGTGGCGCCTGCAGAAGCGAGAGAAACATTTATGACAGGTAACGTTACTGGTCAGCTGATTGGAGCAGGTTATGTGAGTCTTCTTTGCCATTTGAGACATATTTCTATCTACAAACACACAACACACTGTAATACACTTGTGTTAAGTGATGTCATTCATTTCTTTAGCTGTCTCAGATGGACCTGCGACTCTTTACATACACAGAGCTAACTGCTAGCTTACTAATGTTGTCAAAAGTCCTCAGTCCTGGTCCTGACAAACCACATATCTATCCTAAATCATGGGTCTTCCTCAAACCTTACAAGTAATGCTAGCTCCTCAAAGGATTTCAAAATGGTAAAGAATCCTTAAATACGTCATATTTCATGTTTCTATGCCCAGTCACAACTAAACATGGGGAGGCTGCTTTTCAGATTCATGCAGCTATGATCTAGAACAATCTTCCTGAAAATGTGAGACAGGCCTATTCGCTGACAATGTTTAAATTCAGGTTTAAAACAGTTCTGTTTAGCTGTGCAACAGAACTGAGGGATTTTATATTTTTATCTATATCTTTGTTTTATGTACTGTGATTATTTATGGTTTAAGGCTATCTTGTTTTGTTCAGCACTTTGAGTGGCCTTGTGTCTGAATTGTGCGATACAAACAAACTTGCCTTGCCTTACACTTGTCTTTCATTTTGTGCATTACAGATGTATAATAATTGGCAAGGAAAATCAATGCAAGTTTATTTGTAAAATTAAAATTCTCAAATAATGGTTTACAGTAAAATACCCATGTCATTGTGCCCTTAGACAATACACTTCACCCACTTTAGAATGAGTCTGTGTGTGTGTTTGGTGGTGGTCAGTGGGGCTGATGGCACATACTGGTTGCCTCGCTTTTACCAGTGTGCCCCAGGGCAGCTGTGGTGACATGTGAAGCGCCTTTGAGTGTCCTGAAATGCGCTATATAAAACCGATGCATTATCACAAAACAATCCAATTCCATTTTACACCTTTCTACAGTATTGACTATTTCTTTTGCATAAAAAAGAAGCTCTCTGTCTTTGTTATCCTGAAAGAGTCGTTCTACAAGGGAAAAAGCAGACGTCTGTCCTCCTGAATCTTTTATCTGTTAAATCAGAGTAACCTAGTCATTTACAATATGTTATGTGACTGTATTCAATATTAAATTGAGCGAATGTAGATCTAGTATTCTCCTGTCTTGACCGTCATATTAAACTGGTATATCTAAGGTGTGTCTGTTTACTTAAAGCAAATCAAACATCCTGTTTGTACTTCTTATTAATGGCATTGTCTAGGCTTGAAATGTAACACCTGCCTTATTACTATAATTGAAGCCATGGTCCTGACCCAAACCCAAACTGCTTAAGTGGTTGGCCTGTAAGACAGACAGAGTAGCATGGGCAAAGAATCAATGATGCAAGGAATACCAGCCTGGATACTTAGTAGACAGAAGTTTTTAACACGTGGACTGACACGGTTTGGAGAGCTTAAGCGACCTGTTTCTCTTTACATTATTGCAGAAGTTCCTTATATATTATTATAAGTATTTTTCTTTGTCTTTTTGGGGAGACCAGTTCACTTGCCATCAGCACTTGTCTTCTTCGGCACGTTGTATGTTGATGTATGTCCTTGTTTTTGCTCCGAAAAACCTCTTAGCTTCGCGGTTCAAAGCTGGTAGATGCGTCGTGATCTTTGTGTGAATTCCTTTAAGTTCTGTTTTTAGCGTTTACATACCTGACCGTGAAGTGTATCCTGAGATGTGCAAGTTGTAACATAAAAACATATGCTTACTAATACTAAAATCAATGGTTAGAAACTGGTGTGCTAGTGTTATGGGTAACTAGTTGGGACCACATTAACAAAAATATGGACAACCATCTGTAAAATAAAAGGAAGCGACTTCAGATTGTGTCTGAGGGGTCACGGTCAATGTGGCCCCCCTTACCACAACAGTTCCTACTCTGTACTTGCCAGGATTTACACAAGACTACTGAAGTATAAAGTTATTATGTTCCAAATTAAAAACATAATTGTAGAAATAGTAATTCAAACAAAAAAATACCATGTCTATTGCTGTAATAATAGAATACAAATGTAGTTACACATATTTGGGTGTACCACACTAACATTTCACATCTATTTGTATGTATTTTTTTTACGCACTTTGGGCAGCTGGTGTTGTTGTAAATGTGCTATATCAAAGAAGTTGACATTGACATTGTCGTCTTCATGGTTTACAGAAGCAGTGAGCTTTACCGCTGGCAACAATGGGAGCCAACACGAGCCAGATCAGTGAATTATCAGAGAATCCGAGTCTCAAGGCTTTAGTTGGAACTGAGGTTATTTCAAAGAACGATCCCTTTTGGAACCAGCTCATCTCCTTCACCTTCATCAGTCCCACATGCAGGTAACGACAAATACCCGCATGTCTGACCGTGAGAATGCTGTTTTATATCGCGCTTAATTTATTTTTATTTACAGTAAGGATTCCAAATTACTGGAGGAGGCAGTCGTACCTTTGGCAAAAACGCTTAGTAAGTTTGTTGTATGTCTTTATGTATACAAAAGTGTATTTATTTCATATTGGATGTGATTGTGAGTCTGCAGTGGCTGGAAAAAAGTATGCATATGTTATGAGCTGTTGTCTGGTTATGACCACAATATATTAAAGTAGCAATTTTTTAAGATTTTCATGTCAAGTCATAATTAAAGGGCCCTAATCTGTCAAAAGTCTTTAATAAAACATGTTATTTTCAAATACTTCTTTAACTGAAAACAGTAGTTCAGAGATATTTGGATTTCAAAATTACTTTTCCAGCCCCTAACAAGATGTCCCGCCCTCCACCGTTTCACCAATCAGAAAGTCCGTGATGCGGGCGCCAGAACTCACCGTGTTGAGCTAATCTCACTGGTAAAGTACCATGTGGCGCAGAACTAAAAACGGTCTCGTTATGATTTTCAAATTATTAACAACAAAACATAGAATAAAACCAGGATTTTTATCTTTGTGAAAAAGGTGTTGTTATAGATTTGTTGTTGACAAAACTCTTGTCTATTCAGCTGTTATGGTCCCAGCTGGATTCTTCTGCATATCTGGCAACCTGAGTCAGGGAGAGAGGGAAAGGCTGCAGTACCACTTTTGGCCACATGTTTGACATACTGTTCCTTTAACATCTGAATGCATAGTAAAAGGAAATAAGTTAGCTTATTTCCTGTCATACTGTCTCAAAGCAGATACCAGCTGCTTTTTTATTATTGTATTTATGCCCAAATAAATGCAGTTAATGGCAGTTATTGACGAGTACAATAAATGTGTTGTTTTCTATTTGCTCTCCTTACCCCCTCCCCAATCACCCATCCCTCCCACCTTCCCAATTTAATCTCAAAACAGAATATATATTATAGAATTATGTGGAGGATGTAAGCTACTTTTAACAAAATCCTATAAAACTTGAATTTGTGTTAAAAATACTATGTCCAGCAGAGATCCCAGTATAAAAGGCATTGTTTCTCATCTATTCTCTGTCACTTTGTGTTTGTTTTATACATGAAATACCGATAACATGTTTGGTCCTAACAAGACAATGTGGAAGAGTTCAGGGGTTATGAATGCATTGAATATTGATTACATAAAATCTGTCTTTTTGTTTGCATCTTAGTCGAGAATAATCCCCGGACTGGAAACTTTTGTGCACTTGTGAGGGTTTTCCTTGGAAGAACCAAAGAGCTAAAAATATCGACTGAATGTCAAGAGTAAGTGTTGAAGTTTTGAATCATTGTTTTCATTCTTAAGAGACCGCTTTTTTAAACATGGTTAAAGTGGAGAGTGTGTGACAACAATGCAACCTGGGCAAGATACCGCCATGTTTCCACCAGCCTGACTTGGCTCTCCTCACCTTAACTCTCTCCCCTCTCCTCCCCTCTCCTCTCCTCTCCTCTCCTCTCCTCTCCTCTCCTCTCCTCCCCCCTCCTCCCCCCTCTCTTTTCTGCTCCCCTCTCCTCTCATCCCCCCTCTCCTTTCTACTCCCCTCTCCTCTCCTCCCCCCTTTTCTTTCTGCTCCCCTCTCCTCTCCTTTCCACCCCCCTCCCCTCTCCCCTCCCCTCTCCCCTCCCCTCTCCTCTCCTCTCCCCTCTCCTTTCTGCTCCCCTCCCCTCTCCTTCCTCCTCTCCTCTCCCCTCTCCTTTCTGCTCTCCTCTCCTCTCCTTCCCCCTCTCCTTTCTGCTCCCCTCCCCTCTCCTCTCCTTCCCCCTCCCCTCTCCCCTCTCCTTTCTCCTCCCCTCTCCTCCCCTCTCCCCTCTCCTTTCTGCTCCCCTCCCCCTCTCCTCTCCTTCCCCCTCCCCTCTCCCCTCTCCTTTCTCCTCCTCCCCTCTCCTCCCCTCCCCCCCTCTCCTTTCTGCTCCCCTCCCCTCTCCTCTCCTTCCCCCTCTCCTCTCCCCTCTCCTTTCTCCTCTCCTCTCCTCCCCTCCCCCCTCTCCTTTCTGCTCCCCTCCCCTCTCCTCTCCTTCCTCCTCTCCTCTCCTCCCCCCTCTCCTTTCTGCTCCCCTCCCCTCTCCTCTCCTTCCCCCTCTCCTCTCCCCTCTCCTTTCTCCTCCCCTCTCCTCCCCTCTCCTCTCCCCTCTCCTTTCTGCTCCCCTCTCCTCTCCTCCCCCCTCTCCTTTCTGCTCCCCTCCCCTCTCCTCTCCTTCCCCCTCTCCTCTGCCCTCTCCTTTCTGCTCCCCTCCCCTCTCCTCTCCCCTCCCCTCTCCTCTCCTCTCCCCTCTCCTTTCTGCTCTCCTCCCCTCTCCTCTCCTCCCCCCTCTCCTCTCCCCTCACCTTTCTGCTCTCCTCTCCTCTCCTCTCTTCCCCCTCTCCTCTCCTCTCCCCTCTCCTCTCCCCTCTCCTCTCCTCTCCTCTCCCCTCTCCTTTCTGCTCTCCTCCCCTCCTCTCCTCTCCTCTCCCCTCTCCTCTCCTCTCCCCCTCTCCTCTCCCCTCTCCTCTCCCCTCTCCTCTCCCCTCTCCTCTCCTCTCCCCTCTCCTTTCCGCTCCTCTCCTCTCCTCTCCTCTCCCCTCTCCTCTCCCCTCTCCTCTCCCCTCCCCTCTCCTCTCCTCTCCCCTCTCCTTTCTGCTCTCCTCCCCTCTCCTCTCCTTCCCCCTCTCCTCTCCCCTCTCCTTTCTGTTCCCCTCTCCTCTCCCCTCTCCTTTCTGTTCCCCTCTCCTCCCCCCTCTCCTTTCTGCTCCCCTCTCCTCCCCCCCCTCTCCTTTCTGCTCCCCTCTCCTCTCCTCTCCTCCCCCTCTCCTCTCCCCCCTCCTTTCTGCTCCCCTCTCCTTTCCTCCCCCCTCTCCTCTCCCCTCTCCTTTCTGCTCCCCTCTCCTCTCCTCCCCCCTCTTTTCTGCTCCCCTCCCTTCTCCTCCTCCCTCTCCTTTCTGCTCCCCTCCCCTCTCCTCCCCCCTCTCCTTTCTGCTCCCCTCCCCTCTCCCCCCCCCTCTCCTTTCTGCTCCCCTCCCCTCTCCCCCCCCCCTCTCCTTTCTGCTCCCCTCTCCTCCTCCCTCTCCTTTCTGCTCCCCTCTCCTCTCCTCCCCCCTCTCCTCTCCCCTCTCCTTTCTGCTCCCCTCTCCTTTCCTCCCTCCTCTCCTCTCCCCTCTCCTTTCTGCTCCTCTCTCATCTCCTTTCTGCTCCCCTCTCCTCTCCTCCCCCCTCTTTTCTGCTCCCCTCCCTTCTCCTCCTCCCTCTCCTTTCTGCTCCCCTCCCCTCTCCTCCCCCCTCTCCTTTCTGCTCCCCTCTCCTCCCCCCTCTCCTTTCTGCTCCCCTCCCCTCTCCTCTCTTCTCCCCTCTCCCCTCTCCTTTCTGCTCCCCTCTCCTCCTCCCTCTCCTTTCTGCTCCTCTCCCCTCTCCTCTCTTCTCCTCTCCCCTCTCCTTTCTGCTCCCCTCTCCTCCTCCCTCTCCTTTCTGCTCCTCTTCCCTCTCCTCCCCCCTCTCCTTTCTGCTCCCCTCTCTTCTCCTCTCCCCTCTCCTTTCTGCTCCCCTCTCCTCCTCCCTCTCCTTTCTGCTCCTCTCCCCTCTCCTCCTTCCTCTCCTTTCTGCTCCCCTCCCCTCTCCTCCCCCCTCTCCTTTCTGCTCTCCTTCCCTCTCCTCTCCTCCTCCCTCTCCTCTCCTCCTCCCTCTCCTTTCCGCTCCCCTCTCCTTTCTGCTCCCCTCTCCTTTCTGCTCCCCTCTCCTTTCTGCTCCCCTCTCCTCTCCCCTCTCCTTTCTGCTCTCCTCCCCTCCTCTCCTCTCCTCTCCCCTCTCCTCTCCCCTCTCCTCTCCTCTCCCCTCTCCTCTCCCCTCTCCTCTCCTCTCCTCTCCCCTCTCCTTTCTGCTCTCCTCCCCTCCTCTCCTCTCCTCTCCCCTCTCCTCTCCTCTCCCCTCTCCTCTCCCCTCTCCTCTCCTCTCCCCTCTCCTTTCCGCTCCCCTCTCCTCTCCTCTCCTCTCCCCTCTCCTCTCCCCTCTCCTCTCCCCCCTCCCCTCTCCTCTCCTCTCCCCTCTCCTTTCTGCTCTCCTCCCCTCTCCTCTCCTTCCCCCTCTCCTCTCCCCTCTCCTTTCTGTTCCCCTCTCCTCTCCCCTCTCCTTTCTGTTCCCCTCTCCTCTCCCCTCTCCTTTCTGTTCCCCTCTCCTCCCCCCTCTCCTTTCTGCTCCCCTCTCCTCCCCCCTCTCCTTTCTGCTCCCCTCCCCTCTCCTCTCCTCCCCCCTCTCCTCTCCCCTCTCCTTTCTGCTCCCCTCTCCTTTCCTCCCCCCTCTCCTCTCCCCTCTCCTTTCTGCTCCCCTCTCCTCTCCTCCCCCCTCTTTTCTGCTCCCCTCCCTTCTCCTCCTCCCTCTCCTTTCTGCTCCCCTCCCCTCTCCTCCCCCCTCTCCTTTCTGCTCCCCTCCCCTCTCCCCCCCCTCTCCTTTCTGCTCCCCTCCCCTCTCCTCCTCCCTCTCCTTTCTGCTCCCCTCTCCTCCTCCCTCTCCTTTCTGCTCCCCTCTCCTCTCCTCCCCCCTCTCCTCTCCCCTCTCCTTTCTGCTCCCCTCTCCTTTCCTCCCCCCTCTCCTCTCCCCTCTCCTTTCTGCTCCTCTCCCATCTCCTTTCTGCTCCCCTCTCCTCTCCTCCCCCCTCTTTTCTGCTCCCCTCCCTTCTCCTCCTCCCTCTCCTTTCTGCTCCCCTCCCCTCTCCTCCCCCCTCTCCTTTCTGCTCCCCTCTCCTCCCCCCTCTCCTTTCTGCTCCCCTCCCCTCTCCTCTCTTCTCCTCTCCCCTCTCCTTTCTGCTCCCCTCTCCTCCTCCCTCTCCTTTCTGCTCCTCTCCCCTCTCCTCTCTCTCTCTCCTCTCCCCTCTCCTTTCTGCTCCCCTCTCCTCCTCCCTCTCCTTTCTGCTCCTCTCCCCTCTCCTCCTTCCTCTCCTTTCTGCGCCCCTCCCCTCTCCTCCCCCCTCTCCTTTCTGCTCTCCTTCCCTCTCCTCTCCTCCTCCCTCTCCTCTCCTCCTCCCTCTCCTTTCCGCTCCCCTCTCCTTTCTGCTCCCTCTCTTCTCCTCCCCCCTCTCCTTTCTGCTCCCCTCTCTTCTCCTCTCCCCTCTCCTTTCTGCTCCCCTCTCCTCCTCCCTCTCCTTTCTGCTCCTCTCCCCTCTCCTCCTTCCTCTCCTTTCTGCTCCCCTCCCCTCTCCTCCCCCCTCTCCTTTCTGCTCTCCTTCCCTCTCCTCTCCTCCTCCCTCTCCTCTCCTCCTCCCTCTCCTTTCCGCTCCCCTCTCCTTTCTGCTCCCCTCTCCTTTCTGCTCCCCTCTCCTTTCTGCTCCCCTCTCCTTTCCCCTAATCTCTTCCCTCTCCTCTCTTCCTCTCTCTCTCTCTCTCTCCCCATCTCCCTGCCATAGTTTGACTTGAAAGGATTTGCTTTCCCACATTCATAGATGTGCGTTTGTGAGAAAAAGTCTAATGTTTCTGTGTGTTTTCTCTCTACAGTCAGTTGTTTATCTGGCAGGCTCACAACGCTCTCTTCATGATCCGCTGCCTGCTCAAAGTCTTCATCAGAGAAATCAACGAGAAGGAGCTAAACCTGCAGTTCTCGTACCGGGAGACGCCACGTGGGGTCTGCGGAGGTGAGCTGCAATCTGATATTTATGTAAAGATACTTAAGATGCAAGAAAAGGAAGGAAGGAAAGGCATGTTTTGTTGTATAGCGCAATAGTTCATACACAAGGCAACTCAAAGTGCTAACAAAACAAGAAAGGACACGTTAAAAAAACTTAAATAATCTCTAAAGTACATTAAAAAGTGTGAACATAAAATCCTGTATGCAGCTAAACAGAACTGTTTTTAACCTGGATTTGAACGTTGTTAGAGAAGAAGCCTGTCTAACATGTTTAGGAAGACTGCTCCAGATTTAACTGCACAAACCTGAAACGCGGCCTCCTCATGTTTTAGTCCTGACTCTGGGATTAGTCTCTTCTGATTTAAAACTGGTTCAATAGGATTAAAACAACAGGGTGTCAAACTCCTCTTGGTCCGGAGGCGAACTCTCAGTGCTATAAATGTTTTAAATGAATTATAATTATTTAATCTCAAGTCGTCCATTGTGTAAAGTTTTGTAGCTCATCCTTAGCATATGGTTATTCTGTATCATGTTATTTTGATTTTATGCATTCTTAAGCTTTGACTTGATTTTAGTCTTTTGTAAAGCAGGGGTGCAGCTCGACCTGCTATTTCAGTAGAACACACGCCTCAGTATGACTCGAACTGGATTACATAAAGCCGTAATCTAAAGCGTCTGTAAAATTATAAATTAGTTAAATAATTATAGTTACTTACTTGTTAACAATGTATAAATGTATCTGTATTTTGTTTAAACGTGGAACTGTATATTGTATGATTTTGTTTTCTTGTTATGATTTTGGATAGTCTTTCCTGGTCCATGTTATGAGTTTGTTTATGGACAGAGAGATTTCTTGTTCCTTGAGAAAATTGTCTTAATTTAATCTTAATAATTTATAACATGCCGCTGGAAAGCCGTGCTAACCCATGTTTGAAAGTGAATAATTGAAAATCCTATCCGGGCCACTAATGATGATGATTAGTGTGTTTAACAGTGAGTTTGTTCAGTATCTTAAATAATAGTAAGACAAACTTTAATAAACTGTCCATTGTATTTGTGGCTCTTTTATTCGTCCCACTGTGAGGAAATGCCAGTGTTGCAGCGCCAGCAACAGAACAGTAGGAATGAGGAGCACACAGCACAACATAAATGAATAATTAGTCTATACCAGTGTCTCCCAAAGTGGGGTCCGCGGCCCCCTGGTGGGCCGCGAGGGTACTGCAGGGGGGCCGCGGGAGGTCATAAAAAAAATATATAATTATTTAATGTTAAATTTATAATTGTTTTGTTTGTAATATTAAAATATTTGTGTTCATTATTTGACTTGAATAATCCACTGTAATCATTTTTGTATTACAATGTTTGTAGCAGAGGCTATTTCCCCAAAATAAAATAACCAGAAGAGCCTATTCTTAATGTTGTCTTCTTGGTTATTATTTTGGGGGGCCACGCAGACCCGTCAGATTTTTAAGGGGGCCTCGGTGTTACTGAGTTTGGGAATGGCTGGTCTATACGATAAGAAAAGAAAATCTCTATCTTAAAGATGCAGTTAACAATGTTGTTAGCTTAGCCGTTAGCACCAACTGGAAACCACTCCCCCCTCCCCTCCCTCTCCACCAAACCAAACATCCAGCATTTTCTTTTCTTTGTCACAACAGGGAGAGTCGGCGGCAAACATGAAATTGGCCTTTTCTGTTCAGTCCTTTTAGGTTTTAGAAAATCTGTTAACTCCGGTGCACTCGCGAGAAACAGGAAGAGGGTGAAGCGGGTAAATGTATCCTATTGGTTCATTTTTATCCGTCCGCTCCAAACCATTTTAGGTTAATTTTTGGAGACTATAGGCATCTGGTCAATTCCCTTTCTATTTGAAAACACATGATTACTTGACTACTTGGTTTAGGGACGTTTTCCCACAATATCTAAAAAAAATGCGTCGCGGGTTAGCAGGGCATTTATGATGGGGGTCGCGGGCTAAAAACTTTGGGAACCCCTGCTGTAATGCACATTCTGCCCTGCATGGACTATAGGTGGAAATGACCTATTGGGCTATAACCTGTTAGAATGCATCTTTCTTCTGCAGATAAATGTTTGTTGTAAGCCAGCCCTGTCATTTTAGATAAATAATCTAAACTAAACATTAATTAAATTATTTTTACTCAATGTTTATACAGAATGCAGTCAAATGGGATGGTGTTGTGTGACCTGCAGGATCTGCCGTTGAATGCATGTGTTATGTAATGAATCCTCTGTTTCCCGGTGTAGAAAGTCGTGAAGACGTCCTGGAGGAGCTGCTGTCCAACCTCATCCACCTGATCGTTGAAGTGCCCCTGCTGTGAGTGTCCAAGCCTCTGTGTGTGTGTGTGTGTGTGTGTGTGTGTGTGTGTGTGTGTGTGTGTGTGTGTGTGTGTGTGTAACATGTGAACACAGCGTGGTACACACACACACAAAGGTCATGTCTTCAAGTCAATTCAATTCATTTCAATGTGTTTTTGTACAGCCATAAATCACAACAGTAGTTATCTCAGAGGACTTTTACTACTACTACTACTACTACTGCTATTGCTGCTGCTGCTACTACTACTACTACCACTACTAATGCTACGACTACTACTACTACTACTACTACTATGACTACTCCTATGACTACTACTACAACTACGACTATGACTATGACTACTACTACTACTACTATGACTACTACTACTACTACCACTACTAATACTACTACTACTACTATGACTACTACTACTATGACTACTATGACTACTACTACTACTACCACTACTAATACTACTACTATGACGACTACTACTACTATGACTACTACTACTACTAATACTACTACTACTACTATGACTACTACCACTACTACTACTACTACCTCGCCTTCGCCAACAACAGATCAGATCAAAAACACACTTAGAGCCGTCGGTGTATTAGGAGCAGATGACCCAAGTCTTAAGTCTTAAGGAAAAACTGTTAAAACCCAGTGGGCGAAAATGAAAAACCTCCACGTTAGATTTTCAATTAAATTAAACAAAATTAATGTAAGACGCGTTATTGCCTAAATTATCAACCAGGGGTCAAGCGTCTGTACTCAACATTCAAAAACATTTACAAATATAATCTTTATTCCGGACTCAACTGCAAAATACAGCGTGTTGTTCTGAACTTGACATTCACCAATACAACAACAGCTAGGTTCACAGACTCGTTCAATCGGCGAATAAAACAAAACCGACAGACTTCAGTGTGTTCTCTCTGTCATTGAAAGCTACCTGCAGTTTCTGAAGAGAAGCTTTTTTTGTAGTTCAGCCACAGATGTGCAGAGTATAAAAGAGAGCAGCAGGCTTTGAATAAGGTCAACTTCACATCAACAGTGCAGCAAACAAATGTTCACACCAAAGCATTCGCCCTCACATACAACAAACGATACTGCTGAATAATGTCAGATGGACGAGATATTTCATTTCACTGCAGATATTAAGAACCTTACCAGCAAGTCAAAACGCCGGAAAGGTTAAATGTCTGTCCTCTGTGGTTCTGCAGATCATAACAGCACTTTTGGAGTCATTGTGCTTTACATCATGATTTTCCCCAAACACTGAACTAAATTAAGAAGTATGTTTGTCTCTGCTCCCTATGGACCTATGGCTCTGTGTTTTTTTTCCTCTGATTATCTTTTAAAAACTAAAAACTACTGTTGTTATTTAGGACTATACATTGAATTGGATTGAACTGTACGCACAAAAACTACACCGCTAATTTCTCCGTCAAAGTCAGGATTTATCAAAAACGACTTTACATTAACACACAGTTTTAAGTGGCGGCCCCAATGTTTCATATTGAAGTTATTTGGTTCTTTTATACACAGTAAAATGACCGGAGTCGAAATGTCAGAGTAAAAAATTATATACTCTATCAGAGTGACAGATGCTCCGACTGGAGTGAAATTAACTCTACCTTCCTAGTTAAAAAACAGAGTAAAAATAAAAAAGAGTCAATTCATACACACCCTATTTCAGACTGCACCATCGTATATTACAGAATTTGCTATCTTAAAACGTTTAATTTTTTCTCTGTGCCTATACCTGCTTTAACCCAGACTGAGGCATAAACTTGACATGTTGAGGCTAATCAACTCTTTTTAGACAAAAAAGCAGGCAGTCTTTTGGCTCCTGCTTTACATTCACACACCCCTCCCATTACGGTTTGGTTCATTCTCACCTCATGCGCGGGAAGCCCCAACAGTGAGAACCATCAGATGAAAGCGGGAAAGTAGACTGGAACCCACCATTTTGAGGAGAACGCGTCAAGGTGAGTGTGTCTGATTTAGTTGAGAATATCATAATTTGTCTTACATTGTCTTAGCTGGTTGATATAACCTCAGTCTGAATTTGACTTAACTGACTACAGGTCCACCGGTGATAGCTTTAACGTTAGCCTGTTTGTGTTTTTAGCCTAATCTAGGCCAAGTCATTCCAAACAGAATATGTGTGGTAATGTAGTAGATTTGTTAAAATTCCCTCATTATATCAAAATGTGTCACCAGCACCACATGTAACTGCCTGCTAGCATGTTAGCAAGGTCTAGGCTACGCCGTTTTAAACGTGAGCGGACGTTAGTAACGGGAGGTGAGGAAATGCCTTATTTTACTGATAATGGAGTCTCAGTTTGGCTCATGTGATATTCGTTACACTCGCTTAATCTGGCTAACCACGGCTATACCGCACATATGCAGTCCCACAGCTATCCCGCGCTAACATTGCTATCCTGCGCTAACACAGCTAGCCCGCGCTAACATGGCTATCCTGGGCTAACACGGCTAGCCCGCGCTAACACGGCTAGCCCGCGCTAACACGGCTAGCCCGCGCTAACACGGCTAGCCCGCGCTAATACAGCCAACCCGCCCTAATACGGCCATCCCGCGCTAACACGGCTAGCCCGCGCTAACACGGCTAGCCCGCGCTAACACGGCTAGTCCGCGCTAACACTGCTAGACCGTGCTAATACAGCCAACCCGCCCTAATACGGCCATCCCGCGCTAACACAGCTAGCCCGCGCTAACACGGCCATCCCGCGCTAACACAGCTAGCCAGCCCTAACACAACACCACCACATCTAGGTCAGGCAAACACAGCTAACCCACGCAAACACAACCCGCCACAGCTAGCCCGCGCTGCATGTGTTTGTGCTGTAAGAAAGGTGTATACTTTATTTAATCATTTATTCTGAGCGCACAAGTTTGCTTTATTTTTATTGCAATATTTTTATCCCAAAAATTCTCAGGGGGAGGAATTCCTCTGACCTCACATTTGATTTATTTGTCACTCTTTCATGCCTCTGTTAGAGGCCTAATAAAATCAGCGAATTTGAGTGTCTCAAGTGTAAATTCAAGGATGTTTGTTTTTTCACAGGAAAAATGCTGGTCAAAGTGAAACATAAGGGGGAGCAGAGATTTGTCAAAATATATGAAGTCAAGCTTGTGGATCTATTTGATGAAGGTAAATTTGTTACTCTCCATGAGATCATTATGCATGGTTATGAAAACAAGAGGGGGTGCAACAGATATTGCAGTTGCTTTTGCTTTCCATCTCGGGAAGTTGTTTGTTTATTGTAAGCCTCTTTTTCACATGAACAGCAATTGTCCAGTAATCCAAAATATACTTGTTTTTTACAGCTTTCAAGAAGTTTGGAATTCCTCTCAACCGCTTATCTGATGCCAAACTTTTTGATGAAACAAAAACTAAAATAGATGAAGATGTTTTTGAAGAGGTGATGCTGTCAAACATTGGCCATGTTTATGAACTGTCATTGGACAGCACACCGGAAGGTAGGTCCCAATGAAGAGTACATCAGTAAAGGCCTGTGTACACTCATGCGGCGCTGGTTGCGGTTACGTTGGACCAACGCAGCCACAGTTGGTGGTACACTTGCGTGGTCTCCTTGCAGAGTTTTGAAAAGAATGTTGTAATCCCACAACCAACCACATGATAACGCATGTCACCACTGTAAGCTCTGCGCGACTATACACCAGGCTTAATAGGGGAGGGAATCTTGGGGCACCTCATGATTCAATTACGATTCAGAGGCTGCGATTCGATTTTAAAACTATTATTGATGCATTTTTAATATATGTACATTGATGTACTTTTTCCACATTTCCAGAGTTAAAGTAATTAAAATCTATTTTATAACTGTTATGAAAATATCTATTGGAATGGAAATGCATGAACATTTGAATTTTAGTGTACAGCTCAGGGTGCTTTTTGCTGCTTTTAGTGTTGCATATGTTAGTTACAAAGAAGTTAGGTGTGTGTAAGGACATTTTTTAATTGGAAATTTCCCCCACCTCTAATCAGTGTAGATCAGTGATCAAACTCCATAGGTACAGGTTGCACTGCCAGCCCAAGATAAATTTGCCATTGATGGGACTATGAATTAATCTGATTCTAATTCCTAATGCAGAACTTGATGCTGAGGTGATGCAGACGAGCCGAGAAAGTTCCATCCTGGATATTGATGATTGTGATGCTGTGATTTTGAACATTGAAAGCCCTCTGCAGACACAGTCAAGTTCCAGAAATAAAGATTCTGTAAGTATTTCTTTCAAAGATAATGTCCTTGTAGCTAAACTTCAACTTTTTCTGCCCTGACAAACTGATTGCACGAGCCAATCAAGTTATGGTTAGTAATTTGTATAGTGAGAGACAGAAGGTCACTGGAAAAACTGCTCTCCATCATGGACGATTCAACACATCCACTCCATCGGACTATAGAGGAGCAAATGAGCTCCTTCTCAAACATTCTTACAGCTGCCACAGTGAGCGGTACAAGAGCACAGGCCACTCCATCCTGCTGTAGTCACCGCTCTGTGACAGATACATCTGCTTTGTCCTTGTATATTTTATATTAACAGATGTGTACTGTCCTATTTCCCTATTTTATACTGTAAATGTGTACATATTCACTGATATGTATATTCCTAAGTACCAGATTATTCTATTCTCACAATATTATCTCATTATTATTCTTATTTTCGATTTGCGAAATTTGGGTAATAATTTATTTACACCTCTCCTCCGCACGCACACACCTCTCCTCCTCCGCACGCACACACCTCTCCTCCGCACGCACACACCTCTCCTCCTCCGCGCGCACACACCTCTCCTCCTCCGCGCGAACACACCTCTCCTCCTCCGCGCGAACACACCTCTCCTCCTCCGCGCGAACACACCTCTCCTCCTCCGCACGCACACACCTCTCCTCCTCCGCGCGCACACACCTCTCCTCCTCCGCGCGCACACACCTCTCCTCCTCCGCACGCACACACCTCTCCTCCTCCGCGCGCACACACCTCTCCTCCTCCGCGCGAACACACCTCTCCTCCTCCGCGCGAACACACCTCTCCTCCTCCGCACGCACACACCTCTCCTCCTCCGCGCGAACACACCTCTCCTCCTCCGCGCGAACACACCTCTCCTCCTCCGCGCGAACACACCTCTCCTCCTCCGCGCGAACACACCTCTCCTCCTCCGCGCGCACACACCTCTCCTCCTCCGCGCGAACACACCTCTCCTCCTCCGCGCGAACACACCTCTCCTCCTCCGCGCGAACACACCTCTCCTCCTCCGCACGCACACACCTCTCCTCCTCCGCGCGCACACACCTCTCCTCCTCCGCGCGAACACACCTCTCCTCCTCCGCACGCACACACCTCTCCTCCTCCGCACGCACACACCTCTCCTCCTCCGCACGCACACACCTCTCCTCCTCCGCGCGAACACACCTCTCCTCCGCACGCACACACCTCTCCTCCTCCGCGCGAACACACCTCTCCTCCTCCGCGCGAACACACCTCTCCTCCTCCGCACGCACACACCTCTCCTCCTCCGCGCGAACACACCTCTCCTCCTCCGCGCGCACACACCTCTCCTCCTCCGCGCGAACACACCTCTCCTCCTCCGCGCGCACACACCTCTCCTCCTCCGCGCGAACACACCTCTCCTCCTCCGCGCGAACACACCTCTCCTCCTCTCTCCTCCGCACGCACACACCTCTCCTCCTCCGCGCGAACACACCTCTCCTCCTCCGCGCGAACACACCTCTCCTCCTCCGCGCGCACACACCTCTCCTCCTCCGCGCGAACACACCTCTCCTCCTCCGCGCGAACACACCTCTCCTCCTCCGCGCGAACACACCTCTCCTCCTCCGCACGCACACACCTCTCCTCCTCCGCACGCACACACCTCTCCTCCGCACGCACACACCTCTCCTCCTCCGCACGCACACACCTCTCCTCCTCCGCGCGAACACACCTCTCCTCCTCCGCGCGAACACACCTCTCCTCCTCCGCACGCACACACCTCTCCTCCTCCGCGCGAACACACCTCTCCTCCTCCGCACGCACACACCTCTCCTCCTCCGCACGCACACACCTCTCCTCCTCCGCACGCACACACCTCTCCTCCTCCGCACGCACACACCTCTCCTCCGCACGAACACACCTCTCCTCCTCCGCGCGAACACACCTCTCCTCCTCCGCGCGAACACACCTCTCCTCCTCCGCGCGCACACACCTCTCCTCCTCCGCGCGAACACACCTCTCCTCCTCCGCGCGAACACACCTCTCCTCCTCCGCGCGAACACACCTCTCCTCCTCCGCGCGAACACACCTCTCCTCCTCCGCGCGAACACACCTCTCCTCCTCCGCGCGCACGCACACACCTCTCCTCCTCCGCGCGCACACAAACCTCTCCTCCTCCGCGCGAACACACCTCTCCTCCTCCGCACGCACACACCTCTCCTCCTCCGCGCGAACACACCTCTCCTCCTCCGCGCGCACACACCTCTCCTCCTCCGCGCGAACACACCTCTCCTCCGCGCGAACACACCTCTCCTCCTCCGCGCGAACACACCTCTCCTCCTCCGCGCGAACACACCTCTCCTCCTCCGCGCGAACACACACTCTCCTCCGCACGCACACACCTCTCCTCCTCCGCGCGAACACACCTCTCCTCCTCCGCGCGAACACACCTCTCCTCCTCCGCGCGCACACACCTCTCCTCCTCCGCGCGAACACACCTCTCCTCCTCCGCGCGAACACACCTCTCCTCCTCCGCGCGAACACACCTCTCCTCCTCCGCACGCACACACCTCTCCTCCTCCGCGCGCACACACCTCTCCTCCTCCGCGCGAACACACCTCTCCTCCTCCGCACGCACACACCTCTCCTCCTCCGCGCGCACACACCTCTCCTCCTCCGCGCGAACACACCTCTCCTCCTCCGCGCGAACACACCTCTCCTCCTCCGCACGCACACACCCTCTCCTCCTCCGCGCGAACACACCTCTCCTCCTCCGCGCGAACACACCTCTCCTCCTCCGCGCGAACACACCTCTCCTCCTCCGCGCGAACACACCTCTCCTCCTCCGCGCGAACACACCTCTCCTCCTCCGCGCGAACACACCTCTCCTCCTCCGCGCGAACACACCTCTCCTCCTCCGCGCGAACACACCTCTCCTCCGCACGCACACACCTCTCCTCCTCCGCGCGAACACACCTCTCCTCCTCCGCGCGAACACACCTCTCCTCCTCCGCGCGCACACACCTCTCCTCCTCCGCACGCACACACCTCTCCTCCTCCGCGCGAACACACCTCTCCTCCTCCGCGCGAACACACCTCTCCTCCGCACGCACACACCTCTCCTCCTCCGCACGCACACACCTCTCCTCCTCCGCACGCACACACCTCTCCTCCGCACGCACACACCTCTCCTCCTCCGCACGCACACACCTCTCCTCCTCCGCGCGAACACACCTCTCCTCCTCCGCAAAGCGAACACACCTCTCCTCCTCCGCACGCACACACCCTCTCCTCCTCCGCGCGAACACACCTCTCCTCCTCCGCACGCACACACCTCTCCTCCTCCGCGCGAAACACCTCTCCCCTCCTCCTCCGCGCGAACACACCTCTCCTCCTCCGCACGCACACACCTCTCCTCCTCCGCACGAACACACCTCTCCTCCTCCGCGCGCACACACACCTCTCCTCCTCCGCGGCGAACACACCTCTCCTCCTCCGCGCGAACACACCTCTCCTCCTCCGCGCGAACACACCTCTCCTCCTCCGCGCGAACACACCTCTCC